AGCGACCGAGAGCCTGCTGCACGGCGTGCAAAGCTCGGCAGGCCGGGCCAGGCCAGGCTAGGCGAACGCATGCGCGGCGATCCGCCAACCAGCAAACGAGACCAGGCAGGCAAGCTCGCCACCGCTTCGTACGTGCGGCCGCGCTGGGTACCATGGCCGCCTTGCCGAGACCACCTTGCGCGCCTCCAGCCAGGGCGGGTCTCCGTAGCGCAGCCTAGCCTGGCTTGGCCACCGGTACACAGCACCTCGAGGCAAGGCGTTGCGCATCGTCTATTTCCAGACCGTCCTTGCCCTCGGAAGCCGTCGAGGATCTGCTCGGCTGCCGATCCGCCAAGCTGCTGCGCCATGGTATGGTATGGCATGCCGGCGCAGAACGACGCGACGGCACCCTACAGTACGGCGTCTTAGCTTGCGACCGCGGGCCGACGCTGCCGTATTCGCTCGCTCGCTCGCTGGCCTGGCTGGCTAGCCCGCTGGCCCGCTGTAGATTCGCGTTCGCATTCCGCCGCCCCCGTCTCGCCCGCCCTCCGTTCCTCGGCGGGCCCCCTTGCATCGAAGCGAGCGGTCGAACGAGCCGCCCATGCATCTGCGGTACGCGCGGTATCTTGCAGATCTCGCCCTCGCCTCTCGCTCTCGCCGTTGTACGTCCTCGCCTGCGGGGGAGCCCTTCGCGCCGCTTCCCACGCGCGACCAAGGCTTTCTGCCTCCAGCGCAAGCCTGACCCGGTCAAAGGCTGAGCAGGCCGGGGCGTCGATGATCGGGCGTCGTTCAGAGATTGCAGGAAAGGCGGCCGAGGGAAGAAGCGCGAGGCGCTGCTGTGAGCTGACGCGAGAAGGAACCAAGAATCGACCAGCTAGCCTAGGATACCGGTCCAGCCGAGGCTGCCACGTCGTCGCCCAACGCCGCCAGCGGCACATCCGTGCTCAGCGCCTTGGACGACTTGGCAAACGCAAAGAGGATCCGACCCGCGCTCGTCGCCTCAATCTGCCAGAGTAGAGTAAGAGAAGAGTCAAAGGTCGGTCGATGCCCGCCAGCGTGGGGTCAGCAGCCGCAGCAAGCCTGGCGACGTGCGCCGCCTCACGAGAACGCGCGCCTTCTTTCGCCCTACTCACGTCAAAGTCGGCGGCTCGGTCGTCGTCGTCGCCCCACTGGTCCACCGCTGTTTGTGCTTCCTCGCCCAACCCCTGGGGTACTCTGTCGGCGTCGGACGTCGCTCGCCACTGCTTGGCAAAGTTCGGATCGTCCAGCTGCTCCAAGAGGCTCGGACGGCCATGATCGCGCCCGCTCGACACGCTCGCAGCCGCGCCCGGCTCTTGCTTGATGCGCGGCGCCTCCGTCGTCGATGCTTTGCCGGAGTGGTCGGCTCGAGCCTTCGAGACCGGCGCGACGGGCTCGTAGCCCTGCAGCAGGCGGGCCACGATGGCGTCGAGCTCGAAGGCGTCCGGCTGCTGGTAGCAGTCGAAGTGCGCCCAGTCATGGAGGGCCGCCAGCTTGGCGCGGCGGTCGTTGTTGGCGGCGTTGGCGGTGTTGACGACGTGCTGCGAAGCTGCAACGAAGCCCGGAAGCGGCTGGTCATCGTCGTCGTCGTCGTCGTCATCATCATCGCTGTCGCCTTCTGTTGCGTTGGCATCGACGTCGGTACCGCTGCTGGATCCCGCCTCCGTGGCTTTGCGGGCGGCCTTCCCGCTCCCAGACCCGCGGCCGTCGCAGCCGCACACCAGCTGCTTGTGGCAGAGGCAGGTGGTGTTGGTGTGCAGCGTGAAGATGTCCAGCAGCTCCTCGCGCGAAAACGCGTCCGAGGACCTCTTGCTAGAGCCGGCGCTGCCGGCGTTCATGAGCGTGTCCGAGAGCGCCAGCTTCGACAGCTGCCGCTGGTAGATCTTCTCGTCCATGGTGCCCGACAGCAGCAGCCGGTAGATGTAGCACGGCTTCTTCTGCCCATCGCGATGGATGCGCGCCATGGCCTGCTGGTCGGTCGACGGGTTCCAGTCGCTGTCGAACAGGATGAGGCGGTTGGCCCCGATCAGATTGAGGCCGACGCCACCGCTCTTTGCCGAGAGGAGGAAGCAGAAGGTGGAGCTATCGGCGCGGTTGAAATTGGAGACGAGGTTCATCCGCTCGTCCTGCGGCGTCTGCCCGTCGAGGCGGACAAATTTGAGCCGGAGCTTCCGCAGCACGCCCTCCATGATGTCGAGGGTGCTGGTAAAGTTGGACACGAACACGACGCGGTCGTCGGTCTGCGCCCGGATGGTCTGGAGCAGGTCGACGGCGCACGTCAGCTTGCCGCTGTAGGACGCGTCGTAGCGGCGGCGGTGGTCGGGAAAGTGTCGCAAGACGTCGCCGAGGAGCGCCTTGGTCGTCGAGTCGCTCGTGCTCTCGAGGTCCTTGAGCAGCAGCTCGGGCGTGTTGCAGAGCTTGCGCAGGATGCCGATCTGCACCAGGGCGTTGCCGGCCTCGCCCTGGAGCACGGAACGGACCGCGCTCGAGGCGAGGATGGATCGGTAGATGTCGAGCTGCAGCTTGCTCGGGCTGCAGAAGAGCACCATCTCGTGCTTGGGCTGCAGGTACTGCGAGAGGAGCTCGGCCGTTCGCCGCAGGATAATGTCCTTGGTCACCTTGACGAGCGCGTCGCTGCGCAGCTGCCCGAGCTCGCGCACCTCCTTGCTGCAGTGCGGCGCCCGCGACTTGATGATCGGATCCTCAAAGATCCGCTTGAACAGCGTGTAGTCTTCGAAAAAGTCGGGAACCACAAAGTCGATCATGGCGTACAGCTCCGACAGGTCGTTCTGGATCGGGGTGCCCGACAGGATGATCTTGCGCGGCGTGCTGAGCTCCTGGAACATCTTGGTCGTCTTGGCGTCGCGCGACTTGAGCCGGTGGCCCTCGTCGCAGACGACCAGCCCGATGGGCGGCTGCGCCTCCTTGAGCGTTCCGACACAGGTGCGGAGCTTTTCGTAGCCAATCACGAGCACCTGGTACGCCTTGGAGCGGACAAAGCGCTCCACGTCCTCCTTGCCGCGGCCGTCGTCGATGCACAGGACGTTGAGCGCGTTGTTGCCGATCCACTTTCGGAACTCGCGCTTCCAGTTCTTGACGAGCGAGAGCGGGCACGCGATCAGGGCGCGCTCGATCGTGCACGAGGCCGACGTGTAGTAGCAGTTCTGCTTCATCAGAGTGAGGATTAGTGCGATGGTCTGCAGCGTCCTGAGAAACGCTCGCACGCGAGGCGGGGAGGCAAGGAAGCGTCAGCCGCAGAGCAGATACTCGGTGCCCGACCCCAGCGACGCCCCGACTCACTTGCCCAGGCCCATCTCGTCTGCCAAAATCACGCCTTGGCCCTTTTCGCCGTTGGCGTGCATGCCCATCACCCGCTCGTACATGAACTTGACGCCTTCGACCTGGTGCGGCCGCAGGGCCTTGGCCAGCTGCGGATCGACGACGACGTCGACGATCGGTCGTTTCCTGTGCACGACGGCGGCCGCAATCATGGAGCATGTTCAGCAATGGCGGGCAATCACCATGGCTGTATGCGCACAGAGTGTGCGGTGGGGCAACATAGGTCGGAGCAACTCACTCTTTGTTGAACCGCTTCTGGTGGGCCTCGTCCGGCCGCTTCATCACGATGGCCCCCTCGGCATCAGGGTCGAACCTGCTCATAGGGACACGCGGACCGATTGCGAGGGAGGGGTTGGACATTCGGATCAGTCATAGCCCAAGGCAGCAGAGCCTTATTTTCAGCCCCAGGGAGCAACCTACCTTGCGTGCGGGATCTTGCCTTGACCTGGATTCAACAGGCCGCTGAACCTGACGGGGCTTCGCCTGTCTGGGGCCTTGCTTGCTGGTTTTGCTGCAAGAGAAGGCACGATGCAAAGGAGCACTCGAAATAGTATGTTAGGGATGATCGGAACAACACCCCGCTGGCTTCGACTCGGGCGGCTCCTTGCTCACCATAGAATGTGCTGGCTTCTGCCGGGCCGATGTGCTCGATGTCGACGGGATTCTTTTCGATCTTGACCGGGGTCGCGACGCCGCTGTTGATCCTCGTGACGTTCTTGAAGGGCCTTGAGGCGCGAGCGCCGCCTTGCTGAGGCGCCGGGACTGGTGCCGGGGCCGGGGCAGGGACCGCGGCGGACGAGCCTCTGAGGAACTCTGGTCTCGATATCTCGCGGTCGATCTCGATCTCCTTGCCGCCGACGGTCAGCTGGTCTCCGGAGTCGAGCTGCCCATGGTTGAAGGCTGCTCGGGTGCAGAGGCTGTGGGGTGAGCAGGACGGGAGCGCAAATAGTCTGAATGAGGCGGTTCGGCGAGAGGTAGAGAGGCGGAGAGGGGGTGAAGGCCCTCTGACACTACTCACTCCTTGCCCGTCTCTGTGCATCTCAAAGCGCAATGCTTTCCACCCTCCTTGACAATCAGCACCGCATCGCCGTCCCAGGTCTTGTGCTTCTTGAACTGCGGCTTCCTCCACGTACAGAGGTAGAAGGGACCGTCGGACGACTCGCTTGAAGCCGCTGCTGGATAGACTTGCCCTTGCAAGCCCGCCGCGCTCGGAATTCTCAAGACGTCGGCACTGGGCGTGCGGCGCGGTGCGCGGCTGGAGAGGATCGCGTGGGCCGGTGGTTGCGATGGGCCGGCATCTTCGAGGCGGGCTTCCTGCAGCGTCGATGCCGTCGGGGTCGACAGCAGTCGCGGGCGCTTGGAAGGAGACTCGATGCTCGCATCGTGCGGCCGCCGGCTGGCTCCGTTGCTGGCTGCAGGCCGCCGGAGCATTGTCGGCGGCGTGAACTTGGCCTTGAGCTTGGCGATGGGGTCCATGCTGGCGGCGAGCGAAGGGTGCACCGCAGACGGCGAGCCAACGGGTGATGGAGGCCGAGGGAGCGTCTGTGAGCTCGAGGGGGCGTCAACCTGCCTGCCTCAGTGTGATTCGGGGGTTATAGCACAGGCTGGAAGGGGTAGTTGCGCGGTAGTCCGGGTCGTGGTAGCAGGTCGGAAGGCAAACAGGCAGGAAGGCAAGTCGAGCTGCGGCCGAGGTGCGGGCTGGGTGGCAAACCGAGCCAGTCGTGCCGGGCCCTCCACTGGCGTGGCGCGCTGGCCGCTGGCCGACTTCCAGACCAACACCGAATGCCAAAATTTCGGGCCGGGCCAATCTACGCGACGCGCTGCCACGCGGCTCCGAGGGCGGGCCAGGCAGGCCAGACCCTGCTCAGCTCCCGATCCTCGAGCTTTCTCTCCTTTCCCACTGGCGACGGGTGCATCCGCCGAGGTCGTCGACGGACCAGCTGCGCGGACGCTGCGCCTCACATTGCCTCGCCGTCGAGATCCTCTTCGTCGACGGCCGTGCCCTTGTCCGCACCGGGCATCGCCTCGCCGTCCAGATCCTCGCCGTCCAGGTCCACCTCTTCGGCCGGCATCCCTGCCGCTTTCCCCCGATCCGCCTCGCCGACGACGGCCTCTTCCGCGCCGCCGTGCTCAAACTCCGTCCGCAGCCTCTCAAGGCTCTCGCTGGGGAAGACGAGCCAGTCCTCCCACACCTCGAGCACCATTTCGACCTGTCGCCTGAACCCCTCCTGCTTCATCCTGCCTGGGAACGACAGTCGCACCTGCCGCAAGTGTCGGAAGACGGCGGGCAGCCGCACCTCGAACATCGAGCGGTACTTCCAGGCGTTGGGCACCGGTGCCGCCGAGTTGTGCAGAATGTCCGAGATGGCGTGCAGCCGGGCCATCTTGCGCGGCACCGGCGTCGAGCCGACCAGCAATGAGGCGCAGAGCGTCGTCGCAATCTGGCAGAGGGGCAGCAAGAATTTGTCGTGTCAGCGGGCGCAAGCTCTGCAGGCGGACCCGGTTGGGGGCCTCGGCAGGAAGCGCTCAACATACCGAGTCGGCGGCCGAGGCGTGCTCGATGGCAAACGCGGTGACTTTGGCGATCCTCTCGCGGCGCGGCGTCAGACCACGCAGCATGGCCTCGAAGCGCCGCCGCGCCAGGGGCCCGAGCGTCGTGCCCCGCCGGAGCCGTCGCATCCGTTCGTCCTCGGACTCTTCACCCGTGTCGGTCGAATAGAGCGAGTCGTAGCCCTGCGCGTCGATGGAGGTGGCGGCGATTTGAACAAGACGTTAGCGGAACTGGGCTTGTCGACGTACCGCCCGAATTGGTGCACTACACCTACCTCGTCAGTGAATGGCCGGGCGGGCAGGTCCGGCTGGTAGTGAGAATCCAGGCACATGCGATAGTAGTGGTGCGCGTTCGACTGGCAGTGCAGATGCGGTGAAGGATTGAAGAAACGAGAACCCGGACGCAGCGAGGTAAACACGTGCAGAGCAGAGGGTCAGCATCAGTGTCGCGAGAAGCGATCCGTCGCAGACCCAGCTCACCTCGCCATCGCAGACAAAGGCGTAGGTCGGGTCTCTCTGGACATTCTCGCGGATGCTGTCCTCGAGCCGCTGCCCGCCTTCCTTGACACGAGCGGCGACGGTCTCGATGCGTCGGCGCAGGCTCTCCTGGTCGTCGAGGGCAGTCCTCACGACGCTCCGCGGCGAGGGAGAGCGGTCGGTACGGGCTGGCCTGCGCGGCTTGACGACAATCCGCGACCCGCCCTTGGGTCCGCTGGGCCCCTGGGCGCGCAGGTGTGGCGGGCCGTCGGTGGGAGCGAGTGCGTGTCGAGCAGACGAGGCCGGAGCAGCTGCTTCTATAGGACGACGCGCAGACCGGTATTAGTCAAGCAGCTCGGCGTTGACGCGACGCAGCGTCCGGACGAGCGGTGCACCGAATCGATGGGCAGCTACTCACTGTACTGCGCGCGAGGGGGCAGCGGCATCGCCTTGCTCCACCCGGTCTTGAGCAGCGAGCCACCCCATCGGATGCCATCGGTCTCTTTGATCGCGTACTCGGCGTCCTGGCGGCTCATGTAGGCCACAAAGCCAGTGAGGCCGGCCGAGCGATCCTTGCGCAGGTTCGTGATGCCGGCACCTGCACCGCCAAAAGCCTCGTCACCGCGCGGCCACATGATCTGCAACGGAAGTCGGCAGGCGGTCATGCCAAGGTGCAAAGCGGGAATCAGAGGGGCGGCAGAAACGACAGAGCCTGGCTGCGCACGCAGATCGCTCAAGCAAGGAGAGGCTCACCTTGACCGTGCCGACATCGCCCCACTGAGCAAAGAACTCGCCCAACGAGTCCTCGCTGACGTTGGCTGGCAGGTTCATGACGCAGACATTGGTCGTCATCGGATCGCCCAGGTGGCGCGAGCCGACGTATTGGCCCTCGAGAGCTGTTCAGGCGGGGACAGAGAGTCAGGAGGGGAGTGAGCGAACGGCGCTGATAGAGGTGCTTGTGCGCAGCAAAGTCGCCTCAGCCCTCACTTACCGAGCAGCGACGAGATCGAGCCTCCCTCTGCAAGCACGGTCGCCAAAGGAGGCAACAGGACCAGGTGGGAAGCAAGATCGGCAGTGGCCAACGTCAGCGAGCGAACTGGGCATGGCATACGGCTGTCTTGCCTCGCGTATTGTCCCGACTCACCTCCGACCTTGGCGCGCAGGCGCTTTTCCCGGTCGGCTTGGTCTCTGAAGGCAATGCAACGGGTCGCGGGAGAGAAAGAAGATGTCAGGCCGAGGGGCGACAGTTACGGGCGGCATCAGCGCAGCCACAGCGTGACGGATACCGGGCGACGGTACGCACCTCTGCAGCTCCCCGAGAAAGTCGTCCATGGCCCGCTTCTTCTTGCCCGGCGGCTCCCGCTTCGGCTTCTCGACCTGCTGCAAGGCGGCGACGAGGGGTGGCGCGTGGTCAGGCACGGTCACGCTCGTGTACAAGCGACTGCGAAGGGCTGCGAAGGGCTGCGAAGAGCTGTGAAGGAACCATCGTGGCTGCTCACCGCTTCGTCTTCGGGCTCATCGCCAAAGTCGGCCAGAGACGGCTTCTTGGACGCAGCCGCCCTCGGCGGTGGGGCCGGGCGGGATCCCTGATAAACGGCCTGGCCTGAAGCGTGCCGAGCAGACGTGTCGGCAAACAGGCAGGCGGTCAAGCAGCAGTCAGGAAGGAGGCAGGAGGCAGATAGGCATGGCGAGGCGAAGTGGCGCAGACATAGGTCAGAGGGACATCGCGGAATCGAGAGTCGGCGCAAGGTAACATGGCGATTGCAAGAGGAAAGCTAAGCGGGGGATGCGAGGAACGGGAGGCAGTAAAGGTCGACCATCGCACAGTGGCGCTTCGCACTCACCTCCTGCACTGACGAACCCGCGCGGCTTGGTCCGTTGGCCGCCTGCTGCTGCCGCTGCGTCGCCGCCGTGCCCGTCGTCGTGACCCTCCATGGCCACGAGGAAGTCTTTGTAGGCCTTTGCCGCGTCTTCTTCGCCTTGCTTCTTTTTCCTTTCTGCCTCTTCCTTTTCCCGCTGGTACCTCGACTTCTTGGCGGAAGCGCCCTGCTGGAAGCGCTCGAGCTTGAGCCTTTCGACGTCTGGATCCAGCTTGGACGACGAAGAGGCAGCTGCGTCCTGCTGGGAACGGAGGTAGGCGAGCAAGTCCTCGTCCGGAGGCGGCGAATCTCCGGGCGAGCCGTCCCGCACCTTGGCGGGCGCGAGCGGTCGGGAATGGGGCCGGCGATCATCCTGGAACGGCACGGCGCTGCGGTGGTGGGCGGCACGTGCGTGGCGGTAGCGGTCGTCGTCGTCGAAGCGAGGGTCGTCATAGTCGCGGTACAATCCACGGTCCCGGCGGTAGGCCAGGTCGCCCTGACGGGAGGACGAGATGCGGGATGAGGATGGATCGTCTCTGTCGTGGTAGCTGTGGTCGTTGTCTCGGTCCGGGTCATCGGCGTAGCCGTACGCGCTGTAGTCTGCCGGAGGGTCGGCATGGGGCCTGTCTCTGCCGTTGGATGACATGTCGTCGGCGCAGAGACGTAGTGCGAGTGGTCAGCGTGGCGATGGCGGTGTTGATCGTGGTGATGGTGGTGGTGGTGGAAAAAGGAGCGGGCTGCTGCGGATCGCGGTGCGAGTGGAAGATGCGGAAATGGTTTGGGCGGTGCGTCCGTGCGCAGCAGCGGCAGCGGCCACCGCCCAACGCGACCCGACGTTTGCTTGGCTGGCTGAGCCACGCCCCTGCTCCCCTCCTCCATCACCATCACCACAACCATCCTCGCCATCATCACCCTCTTTCAGCAGCAGCTGACCTGGCGCCGACGTCGACTCCAACGGCCCCGGTCACCTCTGTCGGCGATCGCACCGCCTAGGCAGCCCGCTCTGCAGCCACCTGCTCCGGCTGCACCCAGCAGGCAGGCCAATCCAGCCGGACGCAGCCATGTCTGACCTCACCGTCCACGCCGCCCTCTCGCCTCGCGTTGCCATCCTCTCGTCTCCCGACGTCGACCGGGTCATCCAGACGAACAACATCCCCGACCTCGCCGCCCTCCTACGACCATTCGAAGCCTCCGTGTCCCAGCTCTCGGTCCGCACCTCGCAACTCGAGAACCGCCTGTGCCAGCGCTTTCCCCTCCGCTTTGACCCTTTGCGCACCTTCACCGCCGCAGCCGCACCACAACAGGATGATGTCCTCGACTCGGTCAGCGCCCATATCGGCGCAAACGCAAAGCACTGGCTCGCCGAGGTCGATCCAGACGGCTCCGCCTCGCCGCAGCCAGCCGACCTCTTGCAGCAGGCCAGCCAGAGGATCGAGTCCCTGACGCCGTGGTTCATCCACTTTCGAGACGCGATCCTCCACCGACGCTCCTTGAGCCCGCACTCGACATTCGACCATCCCGTCGCCCTCCTCCTCGCCGTCTCCTCGGCCAGCCCCGACCCCATGAACGACTTTGCCAGGCTCTACGAGACGGCCGCTGCCTCTTCCTCGTCCAGCGGCGGTCCATTCGCAGCCCATCCTTTCATCGATCCAAACGTGCTCAGGTACTACCTCCTCCTCCACGATGTCCACACGTCTGGTCCCGACCTCTCGCAGTCGCTCGAAGTGCTCGACCACGTCAAGCGGACCTACGGCCTGCACTGCTGCCTGCTGACCATCAACTCGGCCGAAGAGCACGGCTCCAGCCGCAACGCCGAAGACATCGAGGCCCTCTGGAGCGATTCGCGGCCCCCAGCATCGCCGCCGTCCGCGCCAAACTCGCCCACGACATCCGCCGACGTCGCACGCCTGCTCGACGACGAAGATATCAAGCGGCTCAAGGGCTTTGTCCGCGAGCTGACGGCCCAGAGCATCGTGCCCTTTATGGAGCGCTGCGTCCAGCAGTGGAACGAGCAGCTTGCCAGCTCGCGCAAGGGCCTCACCGGCCGCTTGTTTGGCGCCAGCCGCAAGTTCTTTGGCGGGTCCGCCGCAAAAGTTGCCGCCTCGGCCTCGTCGTCGCTCTCCAACGGCGCCGGCTACAGCGTTCAGCACGACTTTTACCCATTTGCCTCGGTCGAGGCGCAGACGCGGCGGCTGGCCGACTTTGCCTTCACCATCCGCGACTACAAGCTCGCCGCCGCCATGTACGACCTCGGCCGAAAGGACTTCGCCGGCGACAAGGCCTGGAGGCACAGCGCGGTGGCCAACGAGATGTTTGGCCTGTCGCACCTCATGCTCATGTACACGGCGCGCACGCCGCCCATCGACGTCGACAGCTACCTCTCCCAGGCCTGCCACGAGTACGCCCTGAAACCCGCCGCCGGAGGCGATTTGGGCCCGCTGCGCGCCACGCTCCTCTACTACGAAGCCTACCGCGCCCTCGGCTACTATCGGCCGGCGCCCGTCGCCCTCCAGCGCATGGCCAACGCGTCCGAAGAGGTGTTTGGCGCGCTGCTGCTCGAGCAGGCAGCCATGGCCGACTTGCGGCGGCAGCCAAAGGCGGCGGTGCGCAAGTGTGCGCTCCACCTCGTCATGGCCGCACATCGCTACCAGTCCTGTGGGCAGAAGGCGCTCTCGCTCCGATGCTACGCCCAGGCCGCCGCCCTCTACCGCCACAAGGCCTGGACGTCGGTCGAAAACCACCTCGAACGCGAGCTCGGCATGCAGGCCTACAACGGCGGGGACGCCGATGCCGCCGTCGCCCACCTCTCGACGCTGCTGCGCCCCGGTCAATGCTCGGCCGAAGAGCACGAAGCATGGCTCAAGGACCTGCTGACAGCATACAGGTACGCAGGTGGCAGCGGCGGCGGCGGCGAGGGCGAAGGCGACGGCAGCACGGCTACCGGCAAGCCGGAGGTGAAGCTGCCCCAGCCCCTGTTCAACCCGAAGAGCGCGAGGCTCCGGGTTGCCGAGGACGGCATCGGTGCGCAGGGCGGGCAGTCGAGGGTCCCTGACTCGACCTGGACCGCTCTCGAGGGCGCCTTCATGGCAGCGGGCTTCTCCTCGTCGGGATCGGCGACCCGCAAGAGGCCGGCCACGCTCTCCTCGAGCCGGGACAACCGAGCTGCCGTCGATGCCACCTTTTGGCTGGACGTGGCGGTCGAGAATCCTCTGAACACGGCGATCGAGGTCAAGGACATCCGACCGCACCTCCGACCCGACGATGGGCCCAAAGCGGCGCCCCAGAGCGGCGATGATGCAGGGCCATCGTCCGGAGCAACGGCGACAGAGTCCCGCTTCGAGGCCGAGCCCGTCGATGCCGTGATGCTGGGCCCCCGCGAGGTGCGATGGCTCTCGATACCCATCCGCGTCCGGGAAGCGGGCGTTCACCGCGTGACACACATCAGCTCCGTCATTGCCGACGAGCTGCCCATCACCGAATCACTCGACAAGCGTGGCAAGCGCCTCGGTGCGACGAGGGAGCAGCGCCTTACGCCCACCTACGCCCCGGACCAGATGTTGCGGCTGACAGTCCACGAGGCAGAGCCTGCGATCACGGCGTCCCTCGCATCGCCGCCTTCCTCGATGCTGCTCGGCGAGGAGTGCCGAGTCGAGCTGACCCTGCGCAACGTCAGCGGCGAAGGGTTGCGCGACGTGCGAGCGCTGTGCAACCAACCTGATGCCGCCGTTTTCGTGGTCTCGGAGGCGGCCACGGCCAGGGCGGGCTCACCGAAGGCGTCGACGTCGTTTACGATGCCCAACGACCTCAAGCATGTGGCGATACAGGACCTTGTCGGTGACGACGAGATCCTCGCAGCGGGACAGGAGCGGACGGTGCCGCTGCTGCTCAAGGCCAGCCGCTTCGGCGTCGTGGAGCTGGCATGGCTGGTTGTCTTTGGCGACAGCCAGGGCCGCTTCCACACCTCTCGGCTCAGTCACCGCATCGAAGTGGAGCCGAGTCTGGAGGTGTCGGTGCAGAGCCGGCCGGTGTTTGATCGAGCAAAGTGCGACTACCGCCTGTCGGTCGAAGTGTCCAACGTCTCGCTCGACGAGACCGTCACCGTCACCGGCCTCTCCTTTGTCGGCCCGTGCTGGCGATGCTCGGTCGAGGACGAGCCCTCGTCGTCGCCAACGTCGTCGTTATCGGCAAAGGTCGGGACTTCTCTCGAGCCTTGCCAAGCGGTGCGGCTCAGTGCTGTGCTCGGGCGAACGGACTCACGAGGAGACGAGGATCACAGCGAGGCCCAGGCAGGAGGATCCATGGCTTACACCCTCCATCGCTTGCAGGCAATGCTGCAGAGCCGAGAGGTCGATGCCAAGAACGCGCCACGGCCCGTTGAGCTCCTCGCTTCCGGCACCGGCAGGTTGTTTGAGGAAGAGGACGAGGTGCAAGCCTACCCGCCGATCGCCGCCAGCAGCTCTAGCCCGCCCATCTCGACGACGCTCGACTCGCCGCATCACCAGCGACTGCTGCGACAGGCCCGGCTTCGGTGGCGACAGTGGACGCTGTCGCAGCACTTCCAGGCGCTGTCGGAGGCCGATCGAGCGGCTGCCTTTGTGCTGTACGAGCCCAACGACGTCGATGTCGTCGTCCACTGGCAGCAGCAGCAGCAGCCGACACGCCGAGGCAGCAGCTACGTGTTTGGGCTGAGCCTGGGGCCGAGCCGGAACCATCTGCTGTCGCTCTTTGACGACGACGGGCGGTCGGCCATCCGGAGCATGTACGCGCAGACGGTCAAGGAGCGCGGGCTGATGCTGCAGAACCTGCTTTCCAGCCGGCTTGCCACGGACGAGGCGCCGCTGGTCGTCGATCTCTGCCCCGCCGAAGAAGGAGGCTCTGGCGATTCGCACGAGGCGCAACAGGATCGGCGCACCCACGACTTTGCGGCCAAGGGACCCACCCGACTCGGCCTGTCGGTGTGGGTGCGCAACTTTTCAGACAGCCTCGACGTCGACTTCGAGGTCCAGCTGGGGCGATCAGAGGCGCCCTCGGCCACAGGCGCCGAAGACGACACTGGCGAGCCGGAGGCAGAGGAGAGGGGGCCTGGATCGGCGCAGTGGATGGGGCGGCGCACGTTGCGCGGCACGCTCCAGCCGCGCTCGGCGGTGGAGCTGGCGGCCACGGTGCGCATCGAAGGGCCTGGCCTGGTGCGACCGGGCCGCCTGACGGTGCAGAGCCGGTGCTACCTGGCGGGCAGGGGAGGCGGCGAGAGAGAGGGCGGTGCCGGTCCCGGTGCCGCAGCGCCGTGCAGCCAGTTTACGCAGCACGTCGACCCGGCCCTCGCCGTGTATTTTGTCCAGGCGGCCTAGCTGAGATGAGCGAAGGACGATGGCCGCTGGCCTGGGAGCAACACTACTGGGCTCTGTGTCGGACACGTCCCTGCCTAGCCTCTCCTGTCACTTTGTTGCCTCGATACGTACCGCTGCGACGCCACCAGAGCGGGAATCAATGGACGCCAGAAGCAAGCAGTCGATGGCTGGCTTGCGCAGCGCGGCGTGGCGTGGCCAGGCGTGGCTGAGCTCGACCTCTGCCTTGGGATTTCACGCGTATGGATTTTCGGTCGTAATTTTCAGCCGCCCCCGTTTGCCCGAGATAAGGAAGTGCAGCGGTGCGGTGCGTTTGCGCGATAAGGCCGCTCTTGCTGCCGGTGCACGCTTCCCCGCAATGCAGCTCGGGCAGGGTTTGGCCGGCCTGCCTGATGGCGCCACGAGTCAAGGTGGAGCAGCCAGCCGGGCGGGCGGCCGTGCGCGAGCCTCGACCAAGCTTCCTTTCTTTTTTTCTCCTCACCACCTCTCCGCTGCCTCACCTCCCTCGCTCGCTGGCCCGCTGCTCAACAGGCAGACCAACAACATCGACCTGCGGTCACCATGGCTTGATCTTGGCCAACACTAGCAATAGACGTTCCGCGCCAGCCCATGCTTTGACGACCTCACCCAACGCTGGTAACGGCGCGCCACGCTGCTTCGCCCAAAGAGGCTCCGGCCTCCGCCTTGGCCAGGATGGACGTCCCTCGACCGGTGGCTGCCTCGCCGGAAAGCGGCCACCAGCATCTCTACCATCATCAGGCTCATCACGACTCCCGCTCACCACCAGCACCAACACCTCCGCCATCCCGAGCACCGCCAACGACGACGACGACGACGACGACGACGCAGCAACAGCGACAGCAGCCGCACTCGACCAGCCCGTCGGCGCACCCCTTCCTGCTCCCGTACAAGCGCAGCCAGCGCCCCTCGTGGAGCTGCACCGAATGCGCCAGGCGCAAGATCAAGTGCGACAAGCAGATCCCCTGCGCCTCGTGCATCAAGCGAGGCTGTCCCGAACGATGCCATCTCGAGGGAAGCGCACCCGTCGTGGCCGCTGGACCACAGACCCCGCAGGCCCGCCCACCGCACAGCACACCAAAGGCGGAACCCTTCGGCCCCTCACCTCTCGCCTCCTCTTCCGCAGCGACGAGCACCCCACTGGCGCAGCACGCCTCCGGCTCCTACCATGATTCCATCGTCCACACCGACGGCGAGGCGAGCGGCAGCGTTCGGCGCCGTAAGCCGTCCCGCACATCCAGCGATGCCACTTCTGCCGCCGGAGCAGCCTCGGATCGACGCGGAGGCCTGGTCAAATCAGCCGCGGCAGCCTCCACTGCCTGGCACGGCTCACCACCGGACCCATACTTCGCCCCCCGTGCAGACGCCGACCCGCGTTCGCCAAGTCCATCGCACGCTCTACCCTCGGCCGGCCCCTTGGAGCGGATACGCAAGCAGCTTGATCGCATCGAGGCCAGGCTGGGCGCACTCGAGGCCCGGGACGCTTCCGCGGGCGACCTGCACGCCCGCATCCAGGATGTCGAGGAGGTCATTTCGCTGCTTGGTGAACGGCGTAGCAGCTGGGAAAGGAGCCGGGCCCAGCTTCCACTCGATCGCAGTACAGGCGATGGCGAGGCGCTGCACTATGGCAATCGCTCGCCGTCACAAAGACGGCCCGGCGCGGGGATTCCGACATCAGACCGCGAGAGCTCTCCTCCCAACTCTCGAAGAGCATCGAGAATTGGCGCCGCTTCATCCGATGGCGTGCACTTGGACGGTTCGCGTGGACCACTTCAGTCCTACGACGATGAAGCCGACCGGCACGGTCTGGATCACGCACACGTGCGATCGCCGGGATCCGCAGCGCAGCGGCGACTTTCGGACGAAGAGGTCGAGGCGTGGCGAGAGAACCGGAACGCCGAGCTGGCCGCCGAGGACGCCGCCACTGCGCTCGAGTTCTTCGCGCTTGGAAAGGATCGGAGGCATGGGATCATCGCCACGGGGGCCGAAGCAGAGGTGCAGGTCGGCAGCGATGGCGAGCCTTCCCCTGAACTCGCGATGGCTCCTCGCCAGGCGCAGTCGGCGCACGACGATGGCATGGCAGACGAGATGCGACCACGCACCTCGCCTTCCGCCCATCGGGATGTCCAAGACGAGGGCCGCGACGCCGCATCGACGGACCGGCTCGACCGGCTGCGCCTGCGGCTGCCCTATGCAGTAGACCTCTCTGAGCCGTTGCAGATCAGGCTCGATGCCGTCTTTAGGCGGCTCGGAGGCGGCCTCTTGCCGTCGAACATCGCGGCTCATCCAACGACTCGAACTCTGCCGGACAGCATGGCCAGCTTTGCTCTCTCGCCGGCGTCGATACGCGCCATCGTCAAGATGGCTAGGGATATTGGCGCGTGGCAGCATTGTTGCGTCCACTTCCCGACCTTTGAACGCGAAGTCGACGCCTTCCTGGACATCGTGCTCGACGACAGCGGCGACGACCACGAATCTCAAGGAGGAAAGGTCGCAGAACTGGCCAAGGAGGCATGGTCCGTCATCGACCCGGCTTGGCTGTCGCTCTTTTTCGTGGTCTGCAGCATAGCGATCCACCAGATGTCGGCCGACGAATGCCGCGAGTGCGGCGTCGAGAGCGGAGGTGAGTGCTTGCAGCTGTCGCCGCCGATCCTGTCGATCTGCAGACAGCCTGGATCGGACACATCGTCTGACAACTCCTCCGACCTCACCCCTCTTCGCCCCTCTCAGAGCGACAAGGCCAGCTCGCATCCACCCTGCTCAACATGGGCATGGAGGCGCTCTCGCTGGCCGAGTACCTCGTCCGGCCGTCGGTCTACTGCTGCCAGACAATCGCCATCCTCTGCGTGGCCGGCCACAACATCTGCGGCAGCGACCTCCTCACCTCGCTCCTGGCCATCGGAATCAAGACCGGCCAGACGCTGAATCTTCACGCCTTGGGACGTCCGGCCCGCATCCTCGAGGAGTCCATGGCGAAGCGCAGCCGCTTGCTGGCAAGGGAGCGGCAAGACGGCCCACACGGCTCGGACGGCGACACCAGGAACGCTGGCGAATGCGCTCGCGGCGCCTCGTGCAGGGTCAAGGGCGAGAGCGAGCGGCACTTTGCGGCATGGAAGAAGCGCATCGTCGATCTCGAGGTGGGCAAGCGGGTCTGGTGGGCGTTTACGCAGCAAGACTACTTTGCCATCCCCTACCGCGGCTGCTTCTCGATCTTCGAGGGCCAGTACGACACGCCGCTACCCCACAACTGCTCCGACGAGGATCTTGAGCACGGCAAGCTGGTCAACCGCGATGTCAGCGAGCTGACCGTGGCTTCGTGAGTGTCCCGGCGGCAGCGGACCGCGGCGCTGCCGAGCGGCGGATACTGACCGGTTCTCCCGATCACGCTCACCCCCACCGAATCGAACGCTCCACCAGCAAGCAGCGGTATACCTGCCACGTGGCAAAGATCGTGTGCGACTTCTTCCAGGATCTCAACCGGTCGCAGGGTACGGTGTGAGTACAGCGGACGTCTCTTCGAGTCTCGACAGGAGGGTCCGAGGATGAAGCAATGCTGATCTTCTTTCCATCGATGCTCTGACCGCCACACTCTCATCTGCTGTCGTGACCATCCGATCAGCGACTTCTCGCTCGTGCAGCACCACGAGCGGCGTCTGCGCGAGGTGACGGACAAGTTCACGACCTCGTGCCTCCGCACGTCGCGCCCGTACTATGGCGACGAAAGCCCTCTACCTGCGTATGCCACCGTCATGCAGCACTACCTCTTCATCTCAGTCCACCACAAGATCATTGTCATGCACCGGGCCTTTCTGTCGCGCAGGATCTCGGCGGCGGACCGCCAGCTGTCGCACGACGCATCGATCGAGACGGCGCGCGCCATCCTGCAGCAGCTCGAGCGTGGGCTCGGCATGGGGCCCTCCGAGGGCGACCGGCTCGATCTGCGTTCCAGCGCCCACGGAGGGGCGCTGTGGACGATCCCCTATCATGCCGTCGCGGCCGCCACAATCCTCGCGCTCGACATGCTGCGGGCCTGCAAGACCAGCTGCGAAGCCCACAACGACGAGGGTGCGGCCGAGGAGCGGAAGCGCGCCCGGCGGGACGAGGTCAAGAGGGCGCTCCATGCGCTATCCTCGTTCACCGCCAAGAGCGCCATCGCGCAAAGGGGCTGTCAGCTGCTGATTGGCCTGCTCGACGAGGCCAAGAGGTGGGACGATAAGAGGGGTCGGGAAGGCAAGCGCAAAGGGCCGGATCGCCCCGCCGATGGGGAGGCGGAGGAGGGGAGGGCAGCCGGTACGCCGAACAAACGTGCGAAGGGCAATGTCAGCGATGGCGTGGCCGGAACGGAATCTCATCTCCGCGCGCCGTTCCTGCCCTTCAGCCCCACCAACAACGCCAACGGCAACCATCCCGGGTCACTCTCGTCCCACGACGATCGGCGGACCGCCCGTGGACAGCTTCCATGGCCACAGCAAGCCCGCAGACAGAGGCGCTCGACGACAGCTGATGCGGGTCCGTCGACCGTGGCGGCCCGGTTCGGTCAATCATACGGCTTCGGCTCGTCGGGACTCAACCCGCTCGCTGGCGATGCCACGAGCCACAACTCGTTCCTCAAGGGCCTCTCGCCGTTTCCGTCAACGATGCAGAACGAGTACACCGACCTCTTCAACTCGCGGTCGATTGACGGGGCAGCCGAGCCATTCGCGTTCTACGGCGGCAGCAGCATTGCGAACGGGCCCGATCTGCTGGATGCCTCGCCCTCGTCCGTCGCTACCACCACGGCCATGAGTCCACATCAACTATTCTCCAACGGCGGAGACCCGTCGGCACGTCGAGGCATCGAAGCTTCCGCAGGCGCTCTCGATACGGGCTTGCGCCCCGTGGCTGCCCAGCCAGGGCAACCGTCAGAGCATGGCGCTCCTCACCTCGGGCCACACGAGCCTCCGGGTTCGCACGGGACGCGCCCGCTGCAGCCCACTGCGATGATGGACTTCGGCATGGTCTCGGAGCAGCAGCTCTCCCAAATCCTGCCTGCGCTCGAGTCGATGCCGGACGTCTGGAGGCTCTTCGACGGCACGCTCGGCAGCAACCTCGTCGAGTTTCAGGAGAATGGATTCTGAGGGTGAAGAAAAGCAGGTGGGCGCGAGTTGCACGTCAACACGCCCACCTTGCCGACGCTGCGATCCAGGTAGCGTCGCGATTGATACAGCGATGGCGAGGCAGCAGTCGAGGACGGAACGAGGTGGGTTCTGCGACTGAGGCAGGTATTGTACGCCGTCGTCGTAGGCGGTCCTTGGCAGTCCAACCACTCTCGCTCCCTCGCCACGCCAGAGCAGCCATCCTGTCCGCCCATCGCTGGCTCCGACAACCCCCACCTCGTTGCCATCCTGCGCTAACGCGATTCTGGTAGCGTCAGCTGTCACAGCGCGACTCGGTGCAAGTCCCGTCCCCCGTTGTCGTGCATCGCGGCCTGATGTGGGCGCGCAGGCCTTGCTGGCCTCGAGCCCTGCCCACAAAGCGCAGTCGGGGCGAAAGCGACCCACTTCCATCACTCACCCACCAACCTGTGGCGTGCGGCGAGCGTCGAGCCCCTCTGGGCTCAAATGAGCTGGTTGCGAGCCCACCTTCTCGATCCTGTCGGCCGCGAGGCAGGCTGCCGTCGAGTCGGGACGGGGCGTATCTGCAGTATAAAGGGTCAGACCGAGCGGCTTGCCCTTTCCCCTTCGTCAGCATCTATCCCCTCCCCTCACTCTCTTTCCTACCGTCCCCTCCCACGTGACTCGCTCCCCTCCCCACACTCCGTCCCGCTAATTCACAGCACCACACCTGGCTCTCGACGAGCAGACCGCCATCCTACCGCTCTCTCTTACCTCTCAACCCCTCATCCCCCCGATCCCGTTCCTTTTCGGCCGTTCCCACAAGCTCCGACGACATGAGGGCCGCCAAGCTGCTGCTGTGCAGCCTGCTGCTGGCTTTCGCCACCGTGGCACTTCTGGACGGTGCCGACGCCTTCTCTGTCGCCAAGCGTGAGTCGATCCGCCGTCGGTCCTGGTTGCGCCGTGCGGGCTCACATCGGCTGATCATTAGCGCAACCCCCTTTCTCACACACTGCGGCGACGTCTGACAGCGGAGGGCCACGTCAAGGTGCACCGTCGTTCGTTTGGACAGCCCGCTCTGCTCCGACGCGATGGCGACGATGACAACACCTCGCCCAGCGATCCGGGCGCTAAAACAGCCAACCTTGGCGATGGCGGCAAGGGCAGCGGCAACGACGGCGGCAAAGCCAAGGTCGATCCTGCGCAGGCCAACCGCAACGCCAAGTTCGCTCGTCCGATCGACGACAAGAGCAAGGACGGCAATGCCACCCCTCAGAAGGCGGATGCGACCGCCGACGCCAGCGCCAAGCAGCTCGCTTCGGGACAGGGCAAGACGGTGTCGACGGGCGACGCCCAGAGCCGCCTCGCGCTCGAGGTGCTGGACCAGGTCAAGTACCACTCCCGCTTTGAGATGGACACCTTCATCGAGACCAACCTCAACTACGGCGACACTGGCCTGTTTGCCGAGCTCATCTACAACACGGCTTTCCAGACGGCCAAGGACGCCGAGTTCACGCGCCCCAAGAGCGACGCGCTCGGCACAGGCTCGACCGTCGGCTGGAACATTGTCGGGCAGACCAAGATGGACCTCATCAAGGACAACCCGCTCTCGCACGCCCTGCCGGCCTCGGTCAGGCTGACGCTCGACACCACCGTCACTACCGACAACAGCGCCTACAAGGGCTACATCGGCCTCAAGAACCGCGGCTTCTGGGGCATCCCCGTCCGCTCCGGAACGACGTACCGCGCCTCGTGGTTCATGCGCGCAGACAAGCAGACCACCGTCGACCTGCAGTACGGCCTGTACGACTTCCAGGTGGCCAAGCAGTTCGGCGGCGCCGTCGACCGCGTCCAGGTCGGTCCCGAGTGGAAGCAGGTCAACTACACGTTTACCGTTTCCGAGGAGGCGCCGGACCTGCACAACGTCTTCGCCATCCTCTTTGACGCGCGCAAGGGCCCGCTGCCGGCGATCCAGGTCAACCTCGTCAGCCTCTTCCCGCCCACCTGGAAGGACACCACCATCCGCCAGGATGGCGCCCAGGCGCTGCTCGACTTCCGCCCGCGCGCCGTCCGCACGCCCGGCGGCAACGACCTGAGCGGCTTCAGCCCCCTCAGCCGCTTCCGCTGGAACAACACCATCGGCCCCGACCGCTACCGCCCGGGCCGCGCAGGCAACTGGGCCGGCTGGAACACGGAGCACTTTGGCGTCGTCGAGGCCTACAACTTCATCACCCGCCTGGGCGCCAAGATCATCGTCGGCCTGTTTGACGGCACCTACAACGGCGACAAGATCGTCGACTTGTCCGAGATGGCCGCCATCGTCGAGGACCAGGTGAACTTCCTCCGCTTCCTGCTCGACGCCGACGGCGAGTTTGCCGAGATGCGCGTCAAGGCCGGTGGCCCCAAGGAGCCGTACCAGGTCAGCGCGGTGCTCGTCGGCAATGAGAGCGGCATCACGGCCGGCATGAAGTACGACGAGCGCTACGGCATGATGGAGGCGGGCATCAAGAAGCAGTTCTTTAGCAGCGGGAGCCGGTACCCCATGTTTGACATCATCGCCACCGCGCCGGTCAAGGTGGCCAAGGGCCACATGAACAACCTCGACACGCTCAACGACCCCAAGTACGGCGTGCCCAACGACTTTATCGGCGCCTACCACCAGTACGACGGCTACGAGCGCAACGGCACCATCTACTACAACCTCGAGTTTGCCGTCATCAACTCGGGCCTCACCGACGACGACAACCCGTGGTCCGGCTCGAGCCGGCTCGAGTACACGACGCTGCAGAGCTCGCTGGCCGAGGGCGTCTTCCTGCTGGGCCTGGAGCGTAACGCCGACATCTGCGCCAAGGCGGCCTACGCGCCCCAGATGGCCGCCCACGCCGACCCCCGCGAGGACCAGTCGACGCCCGGCCAGCTCATCTTTGACCCGTCCAAGGTGGTCAAGTCGTCGTCGTACCTGGTGCAGCAGGCGTTTGGCCGCTACCACATCGACCAGGTCCACGCCGTCAAGGTGGCTTCGGCGGCATCGTCGTCGTCGTCATCGTCGTCGTCGTCGGGCGGCGCCGGCTCGGCGGCCAAGGACGTGCTCGAGGACAACCTGGTCTACTTTAGCGCCGGCAGCGACAACGAGGGGCGGGTGATTGCCAAGCTGATCAACTACGACGCGCAGCCCAAGCTGATCGACATCACGTTCCCCAAGGACGTGCAGCGGGCCGAGCAGTACATTGTGACGGGCAAGAACCCGCAGGCGAGCAACACCCTCGACAGCCCGTACAATGTCGAGGCCGGCCGCAAGATTGTCGACGCGTCCCACGTGCGCGGCCGCACCGTCACCGTCACGCTCCAGCCTTACTCGATGAACGCCGTCGCGGTTCAGTGAGGTCGCTTCCGGAGTCGCTCAAGAGTGGGCGGGCGGCAGCAGAGGTGGCAGTGGTGGACGCGGCCAGCGAGGCTCGTCGCTGCTCCCGCGGAGTCCGATTTCGGATCCGATAGACGTCGTCCCTCCTGCAGCCCCCCGGGCCGGGCCCTCTGACTTCACGGGCTCCCATGTCGCCGTTGGCATCCCTCTGCATCCTTCTAGTCCCGCTTCGTAGGCGCTCTTGCACAATGTCAGCCCATGGTGCGTACGTACAGTCCATCGTACGTGACTCTCTACTGTCCGCCAGCGTGCGTGCCCGTCGCCTGAAGCGCTGGACCACAAGGAAGCAAGGTGCCGAGTGGGGTGGGTGTTGGGGCGTGATTGTCAAGCTCGGCACTAAGTCATGCTTGCTTTAGCATGTCATGTCATGTCGTCGGGGAGCGGGTCCGTCCGAGGCTGGACGGGTGGGGTTGGGGGCAAGAGAAGGCCGATGAGACGGGTTTAGGCTCGTTCACGGCGATCCGATCCATCCGTCGCACCGCCCCCACCTCCGGCCGAACAATGGGCGATGGCGAACAGAGTACGTACGTGCTTGTCCTCGTCGATCAATTCGACGATCTCGTCCACCCAAGCAGTGAACTCAAACGACAGAAGCTGGCTTGACGAGATGAGACGAGACGAGACGAGACGAGACGGTGTCGGCCTCGCTCTCGGGCCCGTTGATCCGGTCGTGGTGCACCTACCGTATCTTAGACTGTACCGACCTTGCTTGCGTCGTCCGGACTCGTGTAAGCGGAGCAGGTTGCCTGTTGGTCCTGCCTGCCTCTCACACCCACACCCACAGGTACACGTACGGCTGTTCACAATGAGACGAGGTGGGCCTCGTCGAGCCATGCCCGCTGGAGCTACTGTCCCATCGCCATCGCGCCGAAGCCAGACATGGAAAGCGCCGCGCGCGCCTTCGGATGCATACCCGAGGACTGGCCACAGAGGCGGTAGGGTGGGGATCGTCTCCGTGCATGCATGCATGAAACACCTGGGGCGGGGCTCGTCTGGCGTTCGCTCGGCCTGGACGCCGTGTCGCGCCCGTGTACCGACCAGTGAAGCCAAGCAAAGCCAAAGCGAAGCTAAGACGCGGAGCGCGCAGATGCGACGCCCTCGCTCCCCTACCTGCTGGCCACCTTGCCTAGCTCCTCGCTACAGTCCCCTACACGCGCACATCCCCATACTCCCCTTGCCTGGCAGGCGTACAAGCGACTGCTCAAGGACGCAGCGATGTGTTGCTATAGACCTCACCCTCAATTCATGGTCTTGGCGACACACTCGGTACTTAAAAAACGTCAAAGACTGTACTGTACGACGCCCCACCTCAGCATGCTCTTGTTCCTGAGCTTGTTGACAGAGTGGCTGGAACCACGCCCGTAGAAGAGGTCAGCAAGGATCGCCAGCAGGCCAGGCCAACACGCACCCCAAATACACGGGCTCGCATCGACCGAGGTCCATGCGCAGTCAACCCACTCACCCTCCCCACAGTAGTAAATGGCGGCAGGCTAAGCCAGGGGGGAACAGTCAAGGGAGGTGCGGTTTGAGCACAGCAGCAGCGACCGCCTCAACTTCTCTGGCGAGGGACAGGAATACACCATTGATGTATGTATGTACGTATGCACAACGGAGAGACAGGAGGCGGCTGACTTGTTTCTGGCCGCCCTGCGCCCCGAGACCGGAGGCCCTTTGACGGTGTGGTGGGGAATCGTCGCGTCCGTAGGATGCCCGCCGTTGCTACTACTCTAGTAGACTGCTGCTACTGTGTGCCCCTCCAGTAGTGCGTACTGTGAGCCTGGTGGCCGTTCATACAAATACTCGGTGACCGCTGCGGCGGCATGGTGGTCGACCCCCATCATTGTCTTCGCCCCCTTTCTCATCACCTCGCCGCCTCTGTCCTGTCCCTCCCGCAACGGTTCCGTGACCGGGTCGCATCTCTGTCCAGGCCGACGTTGGCCCGACACCACTCCTCCCTCGGCCGCCGCCAGCGCCGCCGCCCTTTGCCGCCGTCCACCCCGTCGTCGCGCTCCTGCGACAGCCGCGGCACCATGATCCTTTCGCACCCGTTCACGCTCCTCTACCTGGGCCTCGCGGCCATCTCGACCGCCTGCCTGCTCAGCACCACCGCCGACGCCGCCCAGATCCAGAAGCCGGGACTGACCCAGTCGGCCAAGTCCAAGCAGCGCGCCGACGACATCAAGAGCGCCTTTAGCTCGAGCTACAATGCCTACCGCAGCTTCGCGTTCGGCTTCGACGAGCTGCGCCCGCAGTCCAAGGTGGGCGCCACGTCGTACGGCGGCTGGGGGGCCACGATCGTCGACGCCCTCAGCACCGCCCACGTCATGGGCCTCGACGACATCTTCCAGGAGGGCACCAACTACGTAAAGGGCGTCGACTTCTCAAAGTCCATCACCAAGGACGTCTCCCTGTTCGAGACCAACATCCGCTACCTCGGCGGCATCCTCTCGGCCTACGAGCTCGGCGGCAAAAAGGACAAGAAGCTCGTCAAGCAGGCCATTGTCATCGGCGACCACCTCCTCTCCGGCTGGGTCGACGGCAACGACCTGCCCTACAACAGCCTCATCAACTGGAACACCACCGGCCGCCCCGACACGACCAAGGACGCCAGCATCGCCGAGGCTGGCACCCTCATCATCGAGTTTGACCGCCTGAGCCGCTTCAGCGGCGACAAAAAGTACCTCGAGCACGCCGAGCGCGCCATGCGCGCCATCCTCAACGCGCCCGCCGTCTTCCCGGGCCTGCCCGGGCAGAACCTCGACCCCAAGGACAACTCGCCCACCAGCGACTACGTCACCTGGGGCGGCGGATCGGACAGCTACTTTGAGTACCTGATCAAGTACGCCTACCTGCTCGGCGAGGACACGGGGCCCTGGATCCCTGCCTGGATCAACGCCGTCAAGAGCTCGATCCGCAGCCTCATCACGCGCGCCGAGGGCACGTCGGCCAACCTGACCTACCTCACCGACTACTCGGCCTCCAACGGCGGCGTGCTGCCCCGCTTCTCGCACCTCGGCTGCTTTGCCCCGGGCAACTGGATCTTTGGCGCCAAGATGCTCGGCATCCCGGATTTCAACGATTACGGCCTCGCCCTCGCAGAGAGCTGCATCAACACCTACACGTCTTCGCCCAGTGGTATCGGCCCCGAGAGCTTCGTCTTTGTGGGCTCCGGCGGCAACAGGCAGGGCATCACGATCAACGACGCCGACTTCTACCGCAAGCACGGCTTCGACTTTGAGGTGGTGCAGTACATCCTCCGGCCCGAGGTCCTCGAGAGCGTCTTGTGAGCATGCGCGTGGCGGGCGGCTGCGGCTGGGCGATGGGTGCTACGATGGTGCGGCGACGACGTGCTGACGCGAGAGACCATGTCGCTTCTTGCCTCCTTCCCCTTGCCCCCTCGTCCTCCGCCGATTCGCACCGACAGCTACGCCTACCGCACCACGGGCGACGAGCGGTGGCAGGAGCTGGCGTGGACGGCGTGGCAGGCCATCAAGAAGCACTGCAAGGCGCCCGCCGCCTACGCCGCGCTGGTCAATGTCAACTCGACGTCGCCCAAGCAGTACGACAACAGCCAGTCGTTTTTCTACGCCGAGACGCTCAAGTACCTCTACCTGACGTTTGCCGACCCCAACGACATCAACCTGGACGAGTACGTCTTCACGACCGAGGCGCACCTGTTCAAGATTGACGTGCCGGCCAAGAGCTACCACTCCGAGTGGGGCAGGATCTCTGAGCCCGAGCAGCTCCAGAAGGGCGCGGCGGGCCACGGCCCCAACGACGGAAAGGCCAACGGCGGCAAGAAGCCGACGGCCACCAAGCCGTCATCCGACGACGAGTCCAAGTCCAAGTCCAAGTCCAAGGTGCCCGTGCCCAAGTTTTCGTCGCTGCCCGACGCCAAGAAGATGCAGGACCAGACGCTCGGCTCGCTCCTCGAGGTGTTTGGCGACCTCTCCAAGCAGTTTGGCGGCGGCGACGCTGCTGCTGCCAACGACGAGCTCCAGCGTCGTGGCCACGCCGACAAGCGCAAGCACCGCCAGTCCCACTTCCACGGATAAGGCCGGCCGCACGCTGTCGGTTCCGCGCTCCCCCTCTCGCCCCCCTGTCTTCCCTGCTCCGTCTGTTTCCCGCCGTCACCGCTCCCCTCGCTCCATTCGCTCCGTCTTGTGTTAACCTCCATAGAGGGCAGTAGTCATGGTGACAATCGCGGCCGGTCCGCTTGTTTGTGTGCTCGCGGCGGTGGCATGCAACGGGAATTGGCCCACAAATGGCCGCCTGCAGGCGTGCGTGTGCGAGTGCGGGTTCGGATGGGCGGACAGAAGGCCGTGGCGGTTGTTGCGTTGCGTTGCGCTGGTCGTTCGGCCCGGGTCCCGAAGCGTGTCTGCGGGGGCGCATGGACGCGTGGGGGCGTGCGCTGCCTGCTGCTTGCCCCTCCCAGACGACCACCGGCCGTACGCTCGGCCAGCAAGGCAGCCCGCTCGTCACTTTGGTCTTTGGCCTTCTGCTCCTTCTTCAGTCTTCGCCGCCTGCCCCTCTTGCGCGAGTTTTGCCATCTCCCACGACGAGCCCGCCCTCCTCGACCGGCTGCAGGACTGCGGCCCCAGCGTGGCATCGTCGTAGCCCTCTTCCGACCTCGGTAGGTCGGTCGAGCTTCAAGGCTTCGTGCCGACCGCCTCGGACCGGCAACATCACCAGCATCCCCATCTTGCGGTACCGCCCCCCTGCACCTCTACACCTCTTCAAGGGCCTCGTGCTGCAGCTTCGGCCGCATGCCGCTTTACTCGGATCGTCGACGACGCTGAGGATCCGGTCATAGCTTCTGGACCCAGCGCCGGACACACTGCTCGGGCCCTCCCGAGACTCGTCGTCGGCACCGCCCGCCTATACCGTCTCGGCCTCTCCGCACTTCTCCGTCGCTGCATGCCATGGCCATGGACGGGTCGGCCGGAGTCGAAGACACCTCTCAGGGCCAGACGACCGCGACGCCGCCTCTCGCCGTTCCCCACAGCCCGACGGCACGTTCCGATCCGGACGCCTCTGCCGACGACGAGCTGAGCCTCATCCCCCTTCAGGACGACTATCGCACCGACTCTCGTACCTCGAGCCTCCGTCACCGCACCGCAGCCAGCGTCGCAGCCTCGAGCCCAGCACCGCGTGAGGCGACTAGCAGACCGAGGTCGACCGTCGCTGGCCACTGGAGGCTACCGCTGCCTTCACATGGCAGTCCCGACCCCGGTATCTCGAGCCGGCATGCGGCTCAAGGGCTATCGAACTGGTCTTCCATCAGTAGTTCTGCTGCCTCCGACGACCACCTCAACGGCTTCGAACACAGCAGACGTGCTGGCGGTGGCGCGAGTGGCAACCACGACCTCCCTCGCGGCTCTCGCCTACGTGCCACTCCATTGCTGTGTCGGCCGACGATGACTTCGGCCCTCGTGTCCTGGGCGTCTAGGCACAAGCGAGCCGCCACGCTCGCCTTGGTCGCCCTCTCGCTCTACGTCCAGCTCCAGCTGGTCGGCCCCTACATTTCCCAGCTCGACTCGTACCGCAGCATCAAGGAGAGCGACTGGCAGAGCTGGCGATGGAACCCGCCAGATCACTCCTCCTCGAGACCCGGAGCCGCGTCGGCTGGACCTGCCTCGGATGTCGCGCCATCGCCGGCAGCGCCGTCAGCAGCGGGGTCAGCCCCTGCCTCGGCTTCGGCATCGCCATACCCCATTCCTGGCTCCTCTGACGGCAGCAACCTCGTATCGAGCAGCGATCCGCGCCTCGGTGCCAACATCTCATTCCAAGTGCAGCCCGTCACTCCGGCTGTCTTCCCCGCCGCCCTCGATCCGACAGCATTCAGCGCCGACGTCGATGTCGCCAGCCAGCTCTATGCGGACTTCGATCCACACCGCGGGGAGCTGCCTACACACCTCCGCGGCGTGCTGGAGCGAGAGCCGGTGCTGGTCCCGCCTCCTCAACCGCCCAAGGCCCCCAAGATCAAGCCCGAGATGTGGCCGAAGCGGGCCTGGTACGCCCGATCCAACTCGACCATGCGCGATGCTCAGCGGCCGGAGCGGCAGCCGGTCGAAGAAGATTGGCGGCCACCGCCGTGGGACAGCTGGCGCCCGCCGCTCGCCGAGTTGGGTGCAGCCTCCCGAGGCCGTCCGCTGCCGAAGGTGCAGCACGCTTTCACGGACCCGAGGAAGCACTCGGGCCATCGCAATGACCCGGCGCGCGATGAGCTCAACGCGTACCGGCAGAGGCTGGTCCGCAACGCCTTTCTGCACGCCTGGGAGGGCTACAAGAAGCACGCCTGGGGCCACGATGAGCTGCGGCCAGTCAGCAAGCGGGCGCAGGACAACTTCAATGGCTGGGGCGCCACCATCGTCGACGCCCTCGACACGCTCCTCGTCATGGATCTGCCAGACCAGTACGACCTGGCACGCCAGCATGTCCGCGACATCGACTTTACCCTGGTCGCGGGTGATCGCAGTGCCTACGGTGCAGCCGACGGTCGCATCCCCGTCTTCGAGACGGCCATCCGCTACCTCGGCGGCTTCCTGTCGGCCTATGACCTGAGCGGCGATACGCTGATGCGCGACCGCGCCGAGGAGCTGGCGCAGCTCATTTTGCCGGCGTTTGACACGGCCACTGGCGTGCCCGTCGGCCGGATCAAGATGCCCAAACCCTTTGCATCGTCGTCGACGTCGGAACCCGAGGTGGAGCGGCCGTACGCGCCGCCGCGACAGCAGGGGAGCGTGGTCCTGGCCGAGGCAGGCAGCATGCTGCTCGAGTTCACGCGGCTGTGGCAGGTGACGGGCAACCGCACCTACTTTGACCGGGTGCAGCGCTCGACCGACTGGCTCGACCACAACATGACCAGGGACGGTCGGCCGGGCACGCTGCTGTCGACGACCCTCTACCCGGACCGCCGCACGCTGTACGGCTCCTACCGCTTCGGCGGCATGGCCGACTCGTACTACGAGTACCTGATCAAGGAGCACCAGCTGCTGGGCGGCAAGCTGCCGCAGTACCCGCGCATGTACGGCGACGCGATCGACTCGGCCAAGTTCTTCCTGATGCAGGAGGTCGACACGGTGCCTGGCGTGCGGCTGCTCAACATCGGCGAACGCTCCTATGGCCGCTTCACGTCGAAGCTCGAGCACCTCACCTGCTTCAGCGGCGGCATGCTGGGCCTGGGCGCGCGGCTGATGCCGGAGCGCCGAGGCGACGTCGACCTGGCCACCGCCTTCACCGAGACCTGCTACTGGGCCTACAACAGCTCGGCGACCGGGCTGGGGCCCGAGCACCTCGTCTTCTACGCCTCCGACGACTCCTCGCGCTTCCACCTCATCAGCCTCGAGGACGGCACGCAGCGGCGCGGCAAGGCGCGCGGATCGCCGCTGGTCGGCGTCTCGTCGTCGGCGGGCCACTACCTCAACCGACCAGAGACGATCGAGAGCGTCTTTTACATGTGGCGCATCACGGGCGACGTCCAGTGGCAGGAGCGCGGATGGCAGATGTTCGCCTCGTGGGTCTACCACGCCATGACCGACGCCGGCTTCTCTGCCATCCATGACGTGCACAGCGTCCCCGCCGACTGGACCGACAGTATGGAGAGCTTCACCTTCGCCGAGACCTTCAAGTACTACTACCTCCTCTTTTCGCCGCCGGAGCTCGTCTCGCTGGACGAGTACGTCTTCACCACCGAGGCGCACCCGCTGCTGGCGCCCAAGAAGGGCCAATGGGCCGTCCCCGGGCAGGGGAGCCGTCGGTTCTGGAACGGGCCCAGGCAGGCAGCGGCACAGGCAGCGGGCAATGACGGAGACGGGTCCGCGGCGTACAGCGGCGGCGAGGGGGGCGAGTACGGCGGCCTGACCAACAACCAGAAGCACGCCGTGTACGACATCTGGCGGCAGAAGAACGCCAAGGTGGTGGTGGCCAGTAGCCTGATCGAGACCCTGGGCGCCGACGCGCTCAAGTCGACGCTCAAGGGCCTGCTCGGCGGCGTCGACTGGGACAAGCTGGTGCCCACCCGCGGCGGCGGCGGCAAGAGTGGGAGCGACGTCGCGGGGGGCGCGACGGCTCGCAGCGACGACGGCGAGGCGCCCACCTGCGACGCCGAGCACCCTTGCGACGGCGATGCACAGCTCGGCGAGGGGATAGGGGAGCTTCCGGCCGGCGCTCAGCTGATCGAGTTTGCCGACGGCACGTTTGCCCTCGATTTGGGCGAGGGCGAGTCGGACTTTCGCCTGAAGCTGCTGGCCGCAGCGGCGGCGGCTGCATCGAGGCAGGCCGAGAATGGGGGAGAAAGCGAGGCTCAGGTGGCGGGCGCTGCAGCATCGACACCGCCGTCGTCGTCGTTGTCAGGGAGCCGCCGTCCGCTCACCGCGAAGGAAGAGGAGGAGGAGGAGGAGGCGGCCGAGGTCCACCGCCTCAACCAGATGCAGGCCGCCAGGTTCCGCTCCAAGGGCCTCGTGGCTCCCGACCGCAGCAAGGGCCAGAAGCGGAGGCTCGACTCGCAGTGATGCCCGACCTGATCCGGCCGTCCTGCCGCAGAGTACGGTACCTTATGCATCCCGTCGTGACTAGTCAGTTATCTCCAGCGCCATCTAGCATGAGTCTCCATCTTGCCACCCCTCGGAGCAGTCGTTTGAAGCCGTCGCCGGCCGAGGTCGAGCGGTCGGTCCGTGTGCCCGATGATGTCGTGCAGCCAGCCAGCCCACCTGCCCACGCCATCGGGAGCGACCGACTGCCGGCTGGCTGGCTGGCCCGCCTCCGACTTCCGAGCTGGAAGCAGGCCGACCCTCGGCGGGAAAGAAGAAAAAAATTCCTCGCAGCAGAGAGAGGGGGGCTGCCCTCACCGCAGCCGCGAGAGTGGGGGGGTATAAGATCCAGGACGCACCGCCCAACCTTCCTTCTCTCTCTCCTTAACGCTAGCCGTACAAATGTACGGCGACCCCCGTCCTCTATAAAAGCACCTCTTCACCAGATGGACTCCTTCCTCGGATCGACGTCTATCGATGACTGTACGAGGCCGTAAAGAGCAAAACGACGGAGACGCAACACCACCAACCTTTCAACGTCGACGGGCGCCCCGGCTGGGCGGGCCTGCCTTGATCCGGCTGTTCTCTGCTCCCTCTTCGGGGGGTGGCATCGTAGGACGCCGGGTCGGCGTGGCTCCCTGCCTGCGGCGTTCTCGGCGGGTGGGACGATGGGAATGGGTGCGGTGCATGGTTCATGTCGTTACCCTCCGTGGTCGACAGATGGCCTGGATCGCAAGTTCTCGCTGTACATTCCTCCTTTCTCCCCCCTCTCCTTCTCTTTTACCTCTTCCACCACTGCTTCGACCATCTTCGCCACCTACCTTTGTTCGCTACCTTGTTTTTCGACTTTCCTTGATCAATCGATCGATACCTGCCGCTCAACTCTGTCTGCCGTGTGAATGCTTGCCTGCCTGTCTGGCTGGCGGCTACCTGGTTGTGCCTGGCACCCAGCGACACCTCAGCCTCCCGTCATCAATGACGGCCACGACCCCAACCGCCGCTCGTCCCCTATCTCCGACGAAAGCGGCTAGACAAGCAACATGGATCCACACACCGCAGCGATGGTCGTTGCTGGTCGCTCGATTCGGTATGCCCCACATGCCATCTTCGGAGATTGCCAGGCACACCCGCTGCTGCGCTCGCACGGCAAAGTCAGTCCTCCGTTAGCCCTCCATACCCGCCACCTCGACGATGTTGCCGCGTCGGCCAGTCCAGGCCAGCGCCGCACCTGCACGTCATCCGAGGCTGTGTGCGAGAGCTTGTCTGCTTATCCCCGTCCTCGCGGGGACCGATGCGAACCCGATGCCGATGCCGAAACGACGGCTTGCCTGCTTGCCTGCCTGTGTTGGCCTCGCCGAGATGAGAAGGTGGCAGTTCGAGATGCTTCGACGCTAAGCTGCGATGACGACGACGACGACGACGATGTCCGAAGTCGACTCCGCCATCCACCAACTGATAGGATACCGCCGGGTCAGTGGGATGGAGGATGCCTCCGCTGGCACGCCATTCAACGTTCCAAGGGCCAGGGTCCCGCCTCTCTCTCTCTCATACGTCCGGACACCTTGCTCTAAACTCCGGACCTCCGCTGGCCGGATTGACCAGCCGCACCTTCCTGCTCGCACCGGCACGCAACACCGCAACTCGCATCATGAGACCATCCGGTCTGCCTGATCAGCGGGACACTGCCCCACGCCCACCACCACCGTTATCGGCTCTGCCCATCGTCATCTACGGATCAGATAACTCCATCAGCCGTTGCCGTTCTTGCTCGCCGCCGCGAATCCCATCCTACCCTACGTACTCACCGGCGGTATCCAGCTCGCAATGTCCCGTCCGCCCGACTGACCTGCTCCGGAGCTAACGGGATGACGCGGCCAGCCGGGTTTGAGCTTCGCTCGGGTTCACGATCCCGGCATTACGTAGTCCCTCCAGCTCGTTGACGGAGATAGTGTGGCGGCTCACCCCTGCACCGTCGTCCGCTCCCACCTTGCACCCGCCGAGCCCATCAATGGAAGCGCGATGGTATAAAGCGGAGGCTCGAGGGACGAGGCAATGGCATCTCAAGCTCAACACCAACAATCTCCAAGCAGCAAGCCAGCCTCCTAGCCTCGTGCCCATCGCTCGAGCCATTCTCCCTCTCTCTCGCGGAATTTGATCATCTCAAGAACACCTGTTCAGCACACTCGTACCATGCCGAGCCCTACCTACTCCAAGATTGCCATCGCCGGCGTCGGACACATCGGCAAGCCGATCGCCGAAGCCCTCCTCTCTGCCAACCTCGACGTCAAGATCCTCTCGCGCACCTCTGCCGCCAAGCCGGGCCTGGAGGCGGCCAAGGTGGTGGCGATCGACTACAACGACGCGTCGGGCCTCGCCGCGGCGCTCGACGGCGTCGAGGTCGTCATCTCGACCCTCGGCGGCGGGGCGGCGCTGGACGGGGACCAGATCCAGCTCGCCGACGCCGCAAAGCGGGCGGGCGTCCGCCTCTTTGTCCCCTCGGACTTTTCCACCGACATGGACCTCATCCCGCGCGACGACGCGGGGCGCCTCCCCGCCTTCTGGAGGGGCAAGGGCGTCGCCTACGACCACCTCGAGCGCATCGGGCTGCCCTACCTCCGCATCGTCAACAACGCCTTCGGGGACTACCTCTACAGCCCCTTTATCGGCTTCGACTTTGACAGGCGCACCGTCCAGGTCGTCGGCGACCTCGACCGCCGCCTCGTCGTCTCGGCCGAGCGCGACGTCGGTGCGTTCCTCGCCCACGTCCTCACCACGCTGCCCGCCGAGCAGCTCGAGAACCGCGCGCTGAGGCTGCAGAGCTTCAAGACGACGTGGCGCCACGCCATCCAGGCCGCCGAGCGCGCAAGGGGCATCGAGCTGCGCGTGGAGAATGTCTCGATCGCCGATGCCAAGGCGAAGGCAGACGACAAGGACACCGACCCCTTCACCGCCGCCGCCTATATCGTACGCTGGGCCATCGCCGCCGGGGCGGGCGACTTTGAGGTCGACAACGACGCCGTCGGCTTCAAGCCTAGCGTCACTAGCCTCGAGCAGCTCCTCTGAGCGCGCGCGCACGCTCACCCTCTGGCCCAGGCCCAGGCCCTGGTTCTTCGTTCCTGCTACACCCGCCTCTTGTCACCAGGTAGCTTAGCCAGAATGCGGAATCGAGAGCCGTGATACCCCATCCATCTTCCTGTCCGAGTGCGTGCGTACGCTAACCGTGTGCGGATTCTCGCGGACGGCCTGAGAGACGAAAGGGGCTCGTGCGCACGTCTCCTCGAAAGCTCGCAGCAGCGCCCGTTCTAGCCAGGAGCGAATCTGACCTTCCCTCCTTCCTTCCCACCCACCATCTTCACCGTCGTCTCAGACTTTCGCCCGAACCGCATTCTCAGGCCCCGTCCCGGCCTCCGCCCTGGCCGCCCCTTGCAAGGCTCGCGGTCATCTCCTTCCCCGCGCCCACAATCCGAGATCAGGTCGCACGACGAGACGAGGGCGCCGGGCGACATCGGCTACTGCTGCTGCGAGGCAACTCTGTCCGTGAGTCAGCACCTTCGTCCAACTACCTAGATACCCGCTTTCATCGGCTTGCGCATCACGTTTCTGAGATCGAGGAAGGGCTCTCGCAAGGTCGGGACATCCCATCGCCTCACGGTCAACATCGCGTCCAGACAGCAGCCAAGTCCACGCTGGTCTTTCCCTCACCCTCTCGCAGTCGCACGATCAAAGCAGGGCAGGTAGTGGCGTTCGGCGTTAACGATGGTGTATTCTCTGACTCCCATCTCCCGCTTCTTAACATGGCATCTACAGGTAGAAGCCGGCGACGTCGAGCAGCGCGGCGGCCACGACGCGGGCGGCAGCGCGAAGCTGGTGCAAGTCGTAGCCCTCTCGCTCGCTCACGTCGCCGCTGTTGTGGTACATGGGGTCGGCGATGGGCCCGTTGCGCTCAAACACCCAGGTGGCGGGGAAGCCCTGCTCCCAGAAGCTCTGGTGGTCGGAGCAGCAGGCGGGCGTGTAGCCCACGACGAGCTCCGGCACGTAGATCTGCGCCAGCTTGCGGACGTGGGCGGTGGCGGTGCGCGTCGAGAGGCGGTCCGGGAAGGCGAGCTGCATCGGCTCAAACGGCGCGCGGTAGGCCAGCATGTCCATCTGCAGCGCCAGCCTGACGTCCGCCTTGTCTTCGCGCAGCAGCTTGGCGTAGTGCTGCGAGCCGACCAGACCCTGCTCTTCGCCAGAGAAGGCGACGAGGTGGACGGGCGAGGCAAACGCCACAGAACGTCGTCCCAGCGCGCGGGCAATGGCGAGGAGTGCCGTGGTGCCCGACCCGTCGTCGTCTCCGCCCGGCGCCGCCGTCTCGCCAAAGGTTCCCCGGCTGTCGTAGTGGGCCGACACGAGGACCAATCCGGGCTCTTTGTGGCCTTCCTCTGACGAAGCTCGGTGCTCGTGCTCGTGCGCGCCGCGGCGCGCCGGGATGGTACAGACGACGTTGGGAGAGAAGTAGGCGTCGTAGCGCTGCAGAGAGCAGTTGACGCCGGGCAGGGTGCCGAGCGAATCGGCGAGCTGGTCGCGGATCCAGCTGGCGGCCTGGTCGGCGCCGTAGGTGGAGCTGTGCCTCGATGTCCAGGTCGCGTGCGGCTGGCGGTCCTCGCCGGTGAGGATGCGGACGTCCTTGCGCAGGCAATCGACGTCGAACGCGCTCGAAGAGATGATGTCGTCGACCAGCGGGTTGTACCGAGCTCGGCCGTAGTGCGGCTCAGGTTTGGGAATGTCGTCGCCGTTGCCCTCCACGCTCTTGACGGCGGCGGGCGTGGGTCGGAAGTCGAGTCGGCGGACGCGAACATCGCGCGGGAGCAGAGTATCGATGCGGGCCAGCATCGCGTTGTCGTTGACCAGGAGAAGGGCAAAGTCGGGCGCAGCATCGAGCAGCTCCACTGCGCTTCGCGAGGACGACGCCGCGCAGACGTGGCCCTCGTCGCCGTCGACGGTGATTCGGAGCTGAAGACCGACCTGCTGCTGGCTGACGAAGCGGGGCGCCTCGTCGCCGGCCGTCGAGCCGCGCGGAGTGCAGTTGCCGGACGATCGGAGGGCTTCGCGAAGACGAGTGACCCAGCTCGATTCGATCTCGCCGGCGGTGGGAGACTCGATGGCCTCGCGGGTGGCTAGGAGCACTGAGCTTGCAGTGGCCGTGCCACCGCTCGACTCTAGCAAGATGGTGGCCTCATCGCTCTGAGCATGGTACTGGGCTCGACCTTGGCAGGATGGACTGTCGCCAAGACGGTGGATCTTCCAGAGCGGACGGGCTTCCTCGGTGCTCTCTGCATAGATTTCGGCCGTCTCGATCAGGCAGCCGGCACGACCGGCGTCGCTGTCCTGAAGGTCGTGGGCCGACAGCAGGTACGACGACGACGACGACGACGACGACGACGACGACGACGAGGCAGCGGGGAGGGCCAGCGTTGCTGCGGATCCGAGGGCGAGGGCGAGTGCGAGGACGGCGCGGAGACCGAAGCCCGCTCGTTGCTGATGCTTGGCGTGGCGTGGCATGGTGGAGTGGGCAGGCTCGCTGCCGGGAATGCGGTAGCGAAAGGCGGAGAGTGCCGTAGGGCCGGGGTCCTGTGACCTCGAGTTGAGAGGAGAGGTAGAGGGTTGAGCGGCCCGTGTGCGGTTCTCGATGGCGGTCGTGTTGCCCCGAAGGAAAGGAGGACGAAGAACGACTACTCTGGCCTGATGCTGGCGCTGGCGAAAGGGGTGGCGGGTGTTGAGGTCGGTCGACGTCGATTTCGTCGTCGTCGTCGCGAGGGCGGGCGACCGGGGATGTGGAGAAAGAGACGAAGCACGCACAGGCCACCATCCGCCTGCCTGCCTGCCTGCCTGCCTGCCTGCCTGCCTGCCAGCTTGCCTGCCTCGTCTTTGCCAGCCGTGCGCAGCGCGCAGCCGAACAAGAAAGCGGCGGCAGAAGACGAGGGCCTGGCCCGCCGTCTGCTTGGCTTGCTTCTTCTTCCTCTCTCTCGCCACGACGCCCCCCTCTACCGACTTCGGCTGGCTGCCGCGACCGGCTACTACCCTGGCATCAACCACGCACGCAAACATCCAACCTAACCCTGGCCTGCCGCCGCCCCGCCGCGGCGATACAGTACGGCCAGGCCAGGGTCACCGCCATGCCCGAAGCCAAGGCCAAAGCCGTCGCCGTCGCCGTCGCCGTCGCCTTCCTCGAACCGCCTTGCTTGCTCCTTGCCGACCCCAAGTCACTGCCCTGCCTGCTCTCGCCGCGGCAACAGCCATCATGCTCTCTTGCCTCGACCGCCGTTTGGGGAGCGTCGTGTCGGAGACCGACTGGCGCAGGATGCGGGGAAGCCGAGCATCAATCCTCATGCTCGCTCACCCCGTCTTTCCTCTTTGGGTCGAGACCGAGGCAGGTGGGCACCGGCATTCTCACAGACGGTGAGATACCGGTAGTTAGCATCGTACAGAGTCTTTTGGCCGACGCCCTTGCGACCGGGCGGAGCGCTGAATCGTAGCGTGGGAGGGGTTGTCAGCGGCGGCCGCTCTTCATCTGCGCCACAGTCATCTTTGTCGGGTGCCACCTCCCCCTGCGGCCGTCGTCATCTCAGATGCTGACAACGGCCAGGCCCTCGACTCGACGACTCGACTCGACACGACACGACATGACATGACAGCAAGCTGTACGTCCCTGCCTGGCCCGCCCTTTCTTGTTTGTTCCTCGCACGCCATCGTCGTCGAGAATCGCGCAGGTGGCGTCCGACAGCCTGCCGTCCCCTCCCGTCCCGGTCCATGGCCTTCTTCGGTGCACAACGCTCAGGGTGTGCATGGCTCCGATTACGCTCGCTTCAATGGCAGAGCACCTACCGTACTGTGCAGGAGCCCCAATGAAAGCGTCCCACACTCTCATGGTCTGGCCGTCGCTCACGATACTCGCTCGACGGAGCGGTCCCTGATCATGGCCATCGTCGCATCCCTGCTTAGGTATCCCGGGGTAGATGGCCGACACCAGGTCATGGACCCTGCCTGCCCTGCGCAGCTGCTCGCATCGCCCGCCATTGTCTTCGTCTACTCGCCTGGGCGAGGGCCTCCCCTGGGGTCCCGAGCCCAAACCGTCCACTCGGCGCCGCGGAGAGCAGCCATTTCCGGGGGGGCAAAAGTGGCAATTACCCCACCCTCACCAGTGCGCCAATGTGCGACGACGAGATGACCGAACTAGCCATCAGGTGAGTGTGTGCGTTGACTCGGGACGGAGCACGGAGCAGCCCAGAATAGAATACCTAGCTTCCAGCAGGGCAAGAACCCCGATTCGCTGCTCACCATCTACATACCGTGGTGCGCATTCGTGGCTTGTTCATTCACCTCGGCCCGCGTTGCCACTGTGCGCGCGCACGAGGAAGCGAGCGGGACAAGAGAACGAAGCGACTCGCCGGCTTGCAGATAGCAAGTCCCCGCTGGACTGCGATGCTTCAAGCTTATTTGAAAGGTGAGAGGATGCCTTGATGATCACAGCTCGTCAACCTATCGCTGCTGAGTCCTAAAGCTAGCACGGTACGACAGTGGCGAAGAGGGGATTGGCCGCCAGGCCAGGCAGCTGCGGTGCAGGCATGGAACAAAGGCCGAAGATTTGCATCACCGCCGACGCTCAGCAACTCAGCATCCCCCGGCCTTTCCCTTCCCTGCCCGCGCAGACCCCGCGCAGGGCGAATCGGGTGGCGTTGCAAAGGCGTCTTTGTCGCGCTCCCACGCTCTCAAGCGATACGGTAGGCTGCGGGGACAGGCGCACCAACGGGCTCTCAACACTGCTGATCGCCACTCGCTGCCCTCGAGGCGCTCGACAGATCTCGCCGAGCTCGACAGCATCGCTCCGGTGTCGGGACCACGATTGTTCCGACGTCCGGCAGCACCTCAAGCTGTCGCAGGCGCAAGCGAGTCGCGCCTTGAGGCTTCGCCATATGATTTCCACCCGCTGCTGCGGATCTGTTCGACACATGACCGTGCACACGACACCAGGTGAATAGTGGCAGTCCACAGGACAAAGACGCAGAGACCAACTCGTCCCGCGACCTCGCACGCATGGCCGTATGTGTGCCAAGACGGATCGGCAGGGAAAGGCCGGCTTCGGTACGGCGACTTGCTGCAGACGACCCACGAGCCGAAAGTCTTCTCCCTACACAAGCGTCGTCGGTGGCGGTGCGATGAACGAGCAGCAGCAGGGGCGTCGGCGGCGGTGAGGATGGCGCTGGAAGCATGCTCGCATGTCGAATCTCGCTCGCTCTCGCTCTCGCTCGGGTCCTCGCTTTCGAAAGCCGACTTCCGACTGCCTACAGGTACTGTGGCTCGCACGCACGCGGTCTTTTCGACTCGCACCCCGGCCTGGCCTTTTTCTCGCCCTCGCCCTCCCTGCCTACTGTAGCTTCGGGCTCCTGCCGAAGGCACCTTTCGCTTGCCGAGTCTCTCTCGACTTCGCGTGCACGGCCGAACCGAAGGGGCGTCGGCGCAGCGGGCATCTAACCAGGTACAGCTGGCGCTAACGCATCCACCCACGCAACCCATGCAGCCATGCTAGGCCGGCTTTCGGAGATGGCCGCGCGTTCAACTCCACGGATACCGATAGTTACCGGTGCCCTTGACAGGTGGTGGCACGTACTGCCGCAAGATCGACTTTGCTAGCCGCCAAGAAAGAACGACCAATCGGCCTTCTCGACTCGAGTCAGGTTCCGTTCGCCTTTTCGCACCGGTGCAGATGACCACGGTGACCAGCCCTACCGCTACGGGACATCTGGACGAAGCGCTGGGCGAGGCGCTGCCTAGCCTAGGCCAACGTATCCGCCCAGCCTGCACCCAACGCACGCACAAGCACGCCCGCAGGTAAGGCCGGCAGGCGGTCAAGCAGGTCACAGCGGTGCATGTGTACGGTAACCGCAACCAGCATACGAGCAGCAAGCAAGGCAAAGACCGAACCATGATGGTTTGCGGTGGCGCGATACCGTACAACTCTAATCACCCCGCGTGCGGCAAGTCTGGCGGGTGAGCTCTAAAGCGACGAGCGCAAGGCTAAGCATGCGTTTTGCCGCCGCAACGCAACGCCATGTCACCTTGTTTCTTTTCCCGCCGTTCCTTGCGCCAACGTCGAGAGATCTCGAGGTTTCGTCGATGCGGCAGATGTGGTGCGGCCCGGGCTACGGCCAGAAGAAACGAATCACCTTCTTCAGCGGGCGGGGCCATGGTTCGACGTCAATCCCTCGTCGTCGCCGTCGCCATCGTCGATTCTTCCAGTCGCGTTTCCGGCGGAGCTGTCATGCCGGCCCGCGACGGCATCGTGCGCCGAGAACTCGCGCCGAGATGGAACCACTACCTAGGTATGTAGGTACGTACGTAAGGCGGACCGATCGTCGTCGTCGGTGCCCAGATGAGGTGAGACAGAGGCGATGGATAAACTCGAGGTCAGAGTGTCGTCGACCTACAGTACATGATGGCCCGAAGGACATCGTCGTGGTGCCAGCACCGGCCTCTCGAGGCGCGGCGGTACCGGTACCGGTGCGACGGCGTCGTTGAGCCGCACGTCGGCTCTGACTGACCACCACAGGGTCCTACCTACCTGCCTGCTCTCTGGCCTGCTGAAACAAATACGCAATCAGATGCCACGCTAGTCCATCCTCACCCCATCTGACCGACCGGCGCTTGACCGCCAAGGCGTCGGCGGCACCCGTACAAGCAAGCCGAGGTTGGCCGATGGACCAGGCCGAGGCCGCGGATGGCCCGGCGTGCGTGGCAAACCACGCTAGGGCCACGGGCGCCACATACAGCAACACATACAGCGTGGGTCGAGCAAGAAGATTCCGCCCTCCCGGAGAAGGGTGGCGGAAAGGGTTCTCTGACATGGCAGGGGGATGACAACAAATGCCGCAGCGTGGCACCGTGGCAGCGTGGCAGGGCTGGGCTGGGCTGTCAACGGGCGATGACACAATGGTCTGACGATCCCGGAGCGTGGGGCTGGGCGATACGCCCATCCGCCCGCCCCTCCGCCTCTGCGCCAGACGGCCGACGACGACTTCTCGACTCAGCTGCGGCAGAAGGCAGGCCAGGCATGATGGTGACGAGGAGCATTAAGCCCAGCAACGGTAAGAGTAGTCCGCGGACGCAACGCTGGACATGGTTTGATACAGTCTCAGTGCCGAATCTGCAGCATGCATGCTCCTGGCCCGCAGCACAGCACGGATCCCGCCCTGTCGTTCGTTGTCCCGCAAGCTCATCATCACCATCTTTCTTCGCTCATCAATCCTAACTCGCGGCCGTCCCTAAACTGGCGGCCGTCGACCGTGGCGAACAGGCTGGCCTAGAGTCAGGGGCCCACAGAAAAAGAACCAAGAATCTTCCGGTCGGCTAGTCCGAGGGCAACACGACCGAACGCCAAGGCAGCGCGAGCAGGTCAAGAAGGTGGGACGCGTCCGTATCTACTCTGAGGGGCGGAGCCAAGAGGGCATGGTACCACGTACGTACGGCTCCAAAGGCTAGGAGAGCATCGCCGACGAGGCCATGTCCCGATGGCACAGGTCGTGGGAGGATTTCCTGGCGGTTGCTCGGTCAGTCGGTCGGGTCGGGCGGATCGGTTGGGCGCTGTCGCTCCGCCCGTGGCGGTCTGCCTGGCCAGGCCAGGCCTGCTCGGCGTCGTGCGTGCGTCTCACATCTCGGTTCGGCTGCCAGCCTCGGGCGGGGCGAGGGCAAAGCAAGCTAAGCAGGGCAGGGCTAGGGCCAGGGCAGGCTGGCCCTGCTTGGCTCTCGGCACATGCGTTCCGCAAATCTCTCCTTCTGCTGCTCGCCCTACTACTAGGCCTCCCCACCGTGACGCCGGCCTGGACCCTAGCCTAGGAGCTCTTACATAGCTGGCGGTTGCCTGCCTTCGGGCCCGCCGTGAACTCACGCGGCTCCCCTCTTTGTGTCGAGAGCGGTCCTCTTCCGCCTTTCTTAGCTTACAGCCCCTTTTGAAAGGACAGCGGGCAGCACAGCACAGCAGCCAACCGGGAGCGTCGAATGTCCCGAAGCCATGACGACGAACGCAGCAAGCGCAGCGGTCTCCCGCTTGTTGTCAAACCAACGGCCAGAAAGGCTGAGGCCAGGCAGGGCCATCGCGCCGGCTATCGTACGGGGTTCGTTGCGTTGCCCGTCGAGAGCACCGAGCTTGCCTGGCCCTCTGTGCGCTCGCTCAGCACACGGCGACCCGTGCGATGCGGGTGGCGCCATAGGAGCTCGACTCGCGGGTTCAATGCATCGTGGGCATTCGAAAGCGGGCGATACCTATCGAGAGGCATCGTACCTGTTGTCGGCCAGCGAATAGCAGGGTGTTGCCCGATGGTTTGCCATGCTGATATGATGGCATGGGACGGGGCAACAGGGGGCGTCGGCCCAGCGATGCTTGGCCTGCCCTGACGCTCCCCGCTCTTGCCCTCTTCCCCCCTCGCTTTGTTTCCGCCGGCCCTGACCTTGGCCCATTGTCGGCCGTCGGAGCAGCAGCCTAGGCGAAGGGTTCGGCCTGCACGGCTGCTGCTGCTGCGCATCTGCCAAATCTGCGCGCGCGGTTGCTGCTGATAGCGTAACCTCCCCCTCACGGACTCATCCCTATCTTGTCGCCATTCGCCCGACGATGAGCATCACTTCACAGGCCTTGCGCGGAACGTACCGGGGCCGATACGATCGCATCTTTGCTTCCCGAAGGTCATGGTATCGATCGATATCCAAACGGCGACAGAGGCAGGGCTTGTGACGACGACGACGACGACGACGAAGAGGCGGGCCCTGGTGCGAAGGTTTGTCGCGTTCCCCGCCCACTCTGCTGGTCCGCCTCGCTGCGACCCGTCGCCGTTTTTGGCCCGTCGTTGCGAGCTTCTTCTCGCTGGTTTGCCACTCCGCTCTGCCCTGTTCTGATGCCGTCGACGTTGGCGGCAGCTCCTGGTCTGGGCCTCCCCCGCGCCACCAGCTCGCTCCTCGGTCGGCCTTCGTGCTGCCCTGGCCTGCTGTGCTGCTGTCGGCGCGTGCAAGTGGGGCGTGACCTTGCCTGCTTAGCTTCTTCTCACAGAAGTCGGTCGGCCGTTGCAGCTAGAAGAGTGCGTTGTTGCTGCGCGAATGTGCCCCGTCGTGGTAGATGACGGCGCGGGCTGAGACGGCTCTCTGATCTTCGCCGCTTCGAATTTCTTCTTCGTCTTCTTCTCCTCCTTTCCTTGGCCGTGTTGGCGGGGCGTCGAGATGGGGGTCTACACTACGCCCGGCGCCGCGTGTCAACCGCCGTCGGCCCAGATGTGGTGTACGTGGTGGTGTGGCCTGGGCCTCCTCGTCCGCCTGCCTGCTGTAGCTGCCTAACGGTAATTGCTCAGTCCCTGCCGTCATCGACGGTGGGTTGGTGTCTGGTCGCGGCGGCACCCCGCGGACCAACGCTGGCAAGGCAAGACAAAGCAACAAAGATGACCGTCTACTGTCGTCGTGGCGGGCGGCTTCGCCTTCCCAAAGGAGCGAGAGGAGAGACGATGGAGAAGAGGCGGCGGCGGAAGGGAGAGAGTTTAACTCGCAGCCTGCTGCCCGCCCGCCCAGCGAGCTTGCTTCTTGCGTCCGTCTCCCCACGCCTCGTCTTTTTTGGCGTGCGAGGCCGGCTTGCTCTTCCCTTGCCTGCCGCCTGCTTCTGCGCCCGCCCCCGCTCTCGAGCAGCCAGGCCTGGTTTGCTTGCTTGCTCTGTGCCGGTATCTCGCCAGACCGGCCGGCCCACCGCCCGTCCGCCCTGCCCGCAGCCGGCCTCGCCTGGCCTTGCCTCGCCTCTGCGCCCGGCTGCCTGCCTGCCCGCCCCTCGCCTCCTTCTCTCTTTCCCCCGCGCGCTTTCTGCCCGCCTGCCTCTCTTGCTTCTTGTCTCTCTGCGCCTTGCTTTGCCCGGCCTGCGGCTGACCCGCGTGTGCGACTGCCCAGGCTGGCTCTGGTGCCCTCGCACGCCTTGTGACCTGCCCGTCCCGTTATCCGCGCGCTAGGGCGCCTCCCAGCCTCTCTCTCCTCTCGTCGTTGTCGTTGTCGCCAACGGCCCCGGCTGCCTCGCTCTTCTGCCTCGCCTTGCCTTCTTCGCCTTGCCAGACCAGCCGAGCCCTCTTGTTCCCCCGCGTACCGCCCGCTCCCTCGCGATATCGCACCATACCGCCCGCGGCCTGCCGGCTCGAGAGGGGTTCCCTGACCCTGCCCCAGGCCCCTCCTCGCCTTCCGCCGCCCCCCCTCTTCTTCTCCAACAGCAGCCGGGGCAGCCTCTCGCTCTCGCTCTGTATCGCTCCCCCTCCTCCGGCCCCCTTCTCCTATCTTCCTTATCCTCCGCCCCCCTTCCCGCCGATCCTCCATCATCACCACCATCCCGTCGTCGTCGTTGCCCGCCGCCCCTTTCACCGTCGTCGATCCTTCCCACCTTCCACTTGTATCCGCCGACCTCTTCTCGACGAAACTTGTTCGGCGCTTGGCAGCGGACGATCCTCTCGACCACCTCGTCTCTCTCACGGCAATCTCAGACCCCCCGGCCCCGCATCGGTGTGCCATTGAAAAGCAGCACAGACAAAGCTGCACGGCTTGCCTGTCTCGTCTACATATCCTCCGCCACCCCGCCGCCGCCAAGAGCAGCAGATCCGCCGCCGACCCCGCATGCCTGCCAGAACCTAGCCGTCCTTGGCAAGAGTCATCTGCTGCAAGCCAATCGATTGTCCCGACCCGTATTGGCAGGCGCCCCACTTGCGTCGCATCTACCAGCGTCTGCCCCGTTTCCAAAAGCCTGTTTGGCATCATCCCGAGCTTCGCCTCACCCTACCTCTCGACTTTCGACCAGCCCAGCACCCTCTCCGCCACCCTACTTTCTGTTGGCATCGCAATAGACCAAAGATGGGCTTCATCAAGGCCGAGACCCAGCCTGCCTACCAACCCGTGCCCACGGGCCAGGCCAGCAGCTCTCACTCCGACCACTTCGCCTTTCTCCCCTTTGCCCCACCCTCGATGGACGGCCTCCAGCCCGCCGAGCTGTGCAAGCAGGGCCTCGGCAGCGATGGCCGTTCCAAGGTGGCGCGCGCCTGCACCGAGTGCAAGTCGCGCAAGATGCGGTGCGACGGCGGCCTCCCCTTCTGCGGTCGCTGCATCACGCACAGCCGTACAAAGTCGTGCGCCTACGTCGACCCGCCCAAGCGCTCCCCCATCACCCGACAGTATGTCAGCTCGCTCGAGACGCAGCTGGAGGAGGCCAACCGGAGAATCGCAGAGATGGAGGCCAAGACATCCAGCGAGGCCACGGCCTCGGGCGCAAGCGGCCCCTCGTCAGCATCAAACGGCGACAAGGTTGCGGGCTCAACCGCCACCGACGCCGCCTCTGCGGCCGACGGCGAAGACGCGGCAGCCGACAGCCTGGCCACCTCTTCTTCCAACCCGGCATTGTCCCCTCCGGCCTCGACATCGACGAGGAGCCGAGCCTGGACGATCGGGCAGGGCATCGGCGCCGCCGAGCGCGACAGCCTCAACTCCAAGAAGCGCACACGCACCCACGGCGGAAGCAGCGGCGCCGCCAACGAGGTCGGGTCGAGCAACGCAACGGCGACCGTTGCCGGTATGGGCTCGCCCTCGTCGTCGAGGTCCCTCGACGTGCCGCAGCGGCCATCGCTGCAGGCACAGCGCCAATTCACGTCGCTCCGCAACATCTACCCGCCGCCCAAGAGCCTGGTCGAGCGCTCCGACGACGCTACACTCGGAGCCGGCACGTTCATCGGCCTCAGCACCGCCACCGCCGTCCTGCGCGTCATCAGCCAGCTCTGCAAGGCGGCCCAGACGGCTCCGTCGGTCGCTGGTCGCCCGCGCAACTTCGACGTAACCACCACGGGCGAATCCGACGACGGCGCCAGCGAGCACCGCTCTCAGCACCAGCGCGAAGACTCGCCCGAGCTCACTTGCGAGACGCTCGTACGCGTCGACGGAGGCCCGCTCGACGACGGACACCCGAGCACCATTGAGCGTTACTCGGCCCACCTGCTGCCCATGGACACCGACCCGGCGATGTGGTCCGAGTCTCACCGCCACGCCGCCGACGGCCTTCTCGACGCCTACTTTGAGCTCCACCACCCAGCCTACCCGATCCTCCACGCCGCCACCTTCAAGGGTCAGCTGCGTGGCGAGCTTCCGCGACCGAGCGCCGGCACCTGGCCCATGCTACTCAACATGGTCTTTGCACTTGGCTCGTTCGAGAGCCGCCTCTCGGCCGACGCCCCCGAGCTCGATCTGCACTACTACGGACTCGCCCGCAAGGCCTACAACTCGGCCATCTTCACCGAGCCGAGTGTCGTCACGGTCCAAGCGCTCGCCCTGATGGCCAACTACTGTCAGAAGCGCAACTTCTACTCGACGTCGTGGATGGTGCTCGGCTCGGCCGTCCGCATGGCCATCTCGCTCGAGCTCCACCTCGAGAAGCCTGCCTCGCCCAAGTCGCGCTCGCCGCTCGACAAGGAGCTCCAGCGCCGGCTGTGGTGGACGCTCTACACGATGGAGGCCGACATGGGCCTGAGCTTCGGCCGTCCCAACGGCATCAGTGGCGTACCTGCCGATGTCGAGCTGCCGCGCAACATCGACGACTCTGACGTGGCCATTGACGGCGCCGAGCTGCCCGACGAGACCGACGGCCCCTCGCGATGCTCGACGCTCATCTGCCACTCTAGGTTCGCCGCCGACATCTCGCTGCCGATCCAGGACCGGCTGATGCGTGCGCCGACGCCGGCCATCGAGGAGATCCGCGCCTTCGACCTCACCATCCAGGACTACGTCGACAAGCTGCCCGAGTACATGCAGGGCTCCGAGCTTGACCGGGCGCCCGGCTGGTTCACCCACGCCGCCACTCGCCTGCGCTGGCGCTGCAACAACCTGCGCATGATCATGTTCCGGCCCTTCCTCCTCTCGGCCGCACTGGCCGCCTCGGTCGCTCGCCAGCGCGGGGCGGTTCGGCCGGCGCAGCGTCCGGCGGTCAAGCAGGCAATCGCCCTCTGCCGCCAGCTGGCCAAGGACAACGTCGAGTCCATCGCCCAGTACTGGGACAGCCACGACCACAACCAGGCGGCCAGCTGGCACGCTGCCTACTTCCTCACCCAGAGCGCCTTTATCCCGCTCGTCTCGATCCTCGACGACCCGACCTCCCCCGACGCCGGCGAGTGGCTCGACCTGCTCAAGACGTGCAAGGCGCTGCTCGAGGACATGGGCAACATCACGTCGGCCGCGCTCAAGTGCCGTGACCTGATCCAGTCGGTCACAGCAGGCCTGCTCGACGACCACATCGCCGAGAGCCGACGGGCGCGCGACCATCACGCCGGTCACCCGCACCACCTGCACCACCAGCTCCAGCACCACCAGCACCACCATGCCTGGCTACAGAGCCCGGCCGACCCCGCGACCATCGAACCAATGTTCTGGGCGCAGCCGTACGCGGCCAGTGCCAGCAGCGATGGCACCGACCTCTCGGACGTGGGTGGGCCATCGTCGCTTGGCTTCTCGCTGGGATCGGTCGGGAGCGACGGCATGCCCATGTTCGACCTCCACTCGCAGATTGTCCAGACGTCGCTCGAGCATCGCCCCTCGCTGGCCGAGACGATCGATGCTTGGACCGACGTCCGTCCCACGACGACAGGCTCGCAGTGGTCCGACGCCGGGTCCCACTCGTCTATCAATGCAGAATCGCGGCAACATCTGCAGCCGGGAAACGGCGCCGGGGTCCACCAGCTCGGCGCCAACGGCGCAGGGCCGTCAACGTTTGGCCGTCAGCGCCACTCGTCGTCGGCGGCATCGATGACCAACTCTTGGACCTATGGCTTCCACCTCGGCGACCAGCAAGGCCCCAGCGACACCGCCGCTGGCATGCCGGAGGCCTCGCTGTTTGCCCACTTCCCGACGCGCAGCCTGGTCTCGAGTCACTCGCAGCAGCAGCAACCGCAACCTTCGAGCTCGGCACGCCCCATGACTGGCGACGCTGACAGCCACATCCCATCGTCTGATGGGTTCGGCGATCCGCAGTGGAGGCATGCAGCGCCGGCCGTCCCGCCGCACCACCATCAGCAACACCAACACCACCACCACCACTCTCAGCAGCAGCAGCACGACCACCCGACCGGCGACAGCCACGACTCGTGGTGGTCGAACCTTTCCAGCTTTGCCCAGGACCAGCATCCGCACGCGCCGTCGCAGGGCGGCCCGCACGCGCAGCACCACTCGGGCGCCGGGACGTCGTCCAACGCCGCTGCACCTGGTGGCGACGGCAACAACGTCGCTTCCTCACAGGCGCCGACCGCTGGGTCGTCGCACCAGCACGACGACCACTTTTTCGACCACTCGGCGTTCGCTGGCTTCTGAGCGCGAGCCGCACCCGCCCGTTGGCTCTCCTTCCTCCTTCTCCGGTACGGTTCCCGTTCGGCCTTTTGTACGACCCCGATGCTCCATTTTTTGCCTTGCCATACCCAGATCTCGTGCCGATCCCCGTAATAACTTCGTATAGCATACATT